CGCCCATGAACGTTTGCGACCCGGCCAGACGTCGCCAATGTTTGGGACCCAATGTTTGGCGACGTCGCTCTTTTGTGGGCGACGTCGCTGTGTTCAAACAGACCGCGTGTGCGAATAGCGATGGCGTCACCTGTGATGGCCTGTGTCACATTCGCTCATTGTACGTACACCTGTTCCGCGTTATTTTCACACTCTGAAAATCGCGCACGCGGCTTTGTCTGTTCTGGGGGGTGTGAAGTTAGGGGTAAGAAAACTGTTCCGTCTAATTTCACGCGCGCTGAGTCAGCGCGCGTGGAAAGTGAAATCCGAAAGTTGACTCAGCAGCTTTGACTTTGTTGAACATTCCTTGTGTGTTGGACACACCTCCGAAAATGCAAAACTCAAGAGAAACAAATTCTATAACTGGAAAAATGCAAGTACACCTGAACGTAAATGAAGGCCTACAAACAAAAACAGAAATTCGGAACATGATACAATGCTCCTTCCTTGCACACGTTAAAAGGCAATGGTACAAGGAGCACTATGTGTTTAGCCCAGCATACGCGAACGCCATGTTGTCTTCTGAAAGCATGTCCCTAAAACTGTAGGTACCAGCGGCGCGATCAACCGCGGGACGAACATACCTCGCCATAGAGGAATCCGATGCGAACTCATGCAAGGCCGTCGTTGCCGCTGCTGCATCTGCAGCATCCATGCCTGCCTCAGAGGGGGGCGCGTCATTCAGATCGAATGGGACGCCGCGGTTTCCGGGTTGGGCAGTCCACCAACTCCTACCAACCCACTCCGTGTCGTTTGCAACGCGTGTAGAAGTGGCGACGTGGTCGTCACAACCAACGAACGCCCGAGCGGTCATTAAAGGATCGTCAATCTTCAGTTTTTTCATTAACACACCTAGAGCTGTGATGTCCGCCGTCTCAGGATCCTTAGAAGGTCCTTGAAATAACCGTTCCAACCCCCACTCCTCCAACCAATTGTACGGCACCACACCGGACCGACGCCAACACCTCCTTATGATCTCTCGACCCATAGTACTCCATACACCACATATCCATGTAATGGCAGTCCGCAAGTCGGGCCGGACAGTTTTCCGTGCCTCTTGATCACGCGTGCGCTGAAATTGATCAAGCAACCACGTGACCAAAATTTTCCGGTACCGCAACTTCAATGTTGCGATGACACCTTGATCCAAGGGTTGTACGTGGGAAGTGCAGTTTGGGGGTAGATAAATTACCCTCACGTTCGGAAGCTCCACAACCTTGATCCCGTCCCTCCAAAACTCGCGCTTTCCCTCGATGTTATTGATGTTGTGTGCGCTTGCATTGTCCACCAATATTGCGATTTTCCGGTCCTTGAATCCCATGTCGCCGTCCACCGCGTCCACCCATTGGGTGAAGATCTATGCGCAACACAAGAAAGCCAAAGAGAGTTGTGAGTAAGTTGGAAATAATGTTTGCATACACGACAAGTGGGAAGTGGCGGGGGTATTCATTGCTTACCTCTGAGGTCATCCATGCACGCCTATTTGCACGGTACCAAGTGTAGTCGTCCACGTTGAAATCGTTCCGGAATGAAGTCGGCCGCAATGCCTTTCCAATGACGATTGGTTTCATCAAATCGGTGCCATCGGCGTTGCAACACAATGCAAGGGTAAACCGTTCTTTGTCTAACTTCCCTCCCGCCACGGATTCGTTCGCGTACGTGCGACGCGGTTGTTGACCGGAGATAAATCCGGTCTCATCCATGTTGTACACATCCGCGGCCTCGTACCCAAAATCTTTGAGGATTTTCGGTATGGTCTCCCTAGCGAGGGCAATGGATTCAGCATTAGCATCCTTCGCCTCACCCTTCCTCTGATACGACGACATCCCCATTCGTGCAAGCGCGCGGCATAACCACCCGGGAGAGACTGTGAAATCGCTAGGAAGACGCATAGCTTTGGCAAATGCCTCCGACTTTTGAAGAAGAACATGGAAGGTGATCGGTAAATTCGCTGCAGTGTGCCTAACAGCCCACGCATGCAACCTGGCCTCAAGGGCGGGAAACTTTCCCTCACGGAGGCGTTTACGGTCTGTGGGGAGTAAAGAGGGGGCTGTCCATTTGGTTGAGGCTTTTAGTATCTTACATACAGTGCTACGACACGGGTGTTTTTTGAAGTTCGTGAAGCACCATAACGCAAGCTCTTTGTGCGACAAGTTCGGGTTCCTAACACGATACTCGCATAATGCAGCCTTCTCGACACGAGTTAGAGCTGCATTTTTTTTAGGCTTAGGCATTCTGTTATGCTGGGAAGGCTGTTAGGAGGTGGAAAAAACGCTGGCGAGAAATGTGGCAGTCTCTGGTGTCGAATGAGTTTGTTCTGAATTTTGAGACTGGGTTTCGAGAGATGGTGAAGCTGGGTTGGACATTCTAATTTGTACACGTCAGGTTCATGTGTACTTGATTCAAGGAAGAATGCGTGCATTTTTTTGTGTGGTCGCGTTTTTGGCGCTGTGATTTTCGCCAATGCGAATTGAACACGTGAGAAATTTGAAACATCCGCAATCGGAGGATTGCGGATGCGAATTTCTGGATTGTGCCTGGAAAAGCGATTTCGCGCCCAGGTCAAACATGAAATGACCCCTTGCTGACTCAGCCGCGCGTGCACCCCCTTGGTCACTTTTCTGCCGCCCCTGGTCAGATTGCCCCGGAAAAGGACAAAGGGGTTGAAGATAGGGGGTGTGAAATTATCGCGGAACAGGTGTATTTGTGTTCGAACTCATTTGGGATACTGTTCGTACAGTCAAACTGATACGTCGGTTCGGATTTTGGCCTTCCGCCCCTCAGGTGAAGCGCCCTTAGGATGCAAATGAACATCTTTTCGAGCTAACAAACGGTAAAGCGTGGGTGGACGCGATGAAGAAGGCAGTCTGCAGAGGGAGAAAAAGGGGCAGTATTCGCGCATCACGCCATCGCGTTTCTGGAAACGTACAGCGATTCGTGGAAAGCGAAATGGCAGAATGTCATATGGGCAAAAGCGAAAAATGACATTAAGAGCTGAACAGACTAAAGGGCATTCCGTTGCCGGGACTTGAACCCGGGTCTCTCGGGTGAGAGCCGAGTATCCTAACCGACTAGACTACAACGGATATTGACATTCGTATAATAGTTATTTAATAAAATCGAATCTTACTGCCTTACGTCTCTGAGTCACTGTTTGCGACGGTTTACAGATAGGCACGAGCTTTGAGTGAACGATGCATGACCGCCCTTGTGCTGCCTGTGCTTCCGTAGTACGGATCAGAATGAGCAGGAAGCTAACGCCGATTAGGCGTGGATGATGGAGATCAACTTGATATATATTGTATAGCGTTGAGAGCATCAGTCTATGGGTGGTGATGTAGTATGGTTGTCGGCAAGGCAGTGAAAATACTGTCATTACGTCGAACGAGACCAATACAATTCGTCATACGCTCCCAACGTTCTTCAGAGGAACCCGATCTTTTGCCTAAGATTTCATGAGAATCGGCGTAAGCCATAACACAGGAATCATGCGAGGGGAAGATCGGAGCAACTTTTTGGAACCTTATGTTGAAGTGGTATTGAGACGGTGAAAGCGTCAGGCTATGGGTGGTGATGTAGTATGGTTGTCGGCAAGGCAGTGAGGACACTGCCATTACGTCGAACGAGACCAATACAATTCATCATACGCTTCCAGTGCTCTTCAGAACGAAAGAAAGAAACAGATATCACCGCTTATGATGTCATGAGAATTGACACAAGAGGGACAAGCAAGGTGGGGTAATGGAACACCTTTACTCCTTATTTGGGTAAATGATCAATGGATGGAAGCATCAGGCTATGGGTGGTGATGTAGTATGGTTGTCGGCAAGGCAGTGAAGACACTGCCATTACGTCGAACGAGACCAATACAATTCATCATACGCTTCCAGTGCCCTTCAGAACGAAAGAAAGAAACAGATATCACCGCTTATGATGTCATGAGAATTGAACACAAGAGGGACGCGCAAGGGGGGGTAATGAAACACCTTAACTCCTTATTTTGGTAAATGTTCAATGGATGGAAGCATCAGGCTATGGGTGGTGATGTAGTATGGTTGTCGGCAAGGCAGTGAAGACACTGCCATTACGACGAACGAGACCAATACAATTAATCATCTGCTTCCAACATTTATGATCGTGGGGACCATATTGTTAGGCGCGAATGCAAAGGGCAAAATATACTTCAAAGCTAAAACGCGCGAGATCGACTGGAGGTCTGGCGATGAGAACAAAGCAGGTAATGTAAAGTGAAGGCGGCGACGCCTTGAAATGCCATGGGGCTTTGCAAGAACGACGAGTGAGGGAAGGTAGGAAAAGAAACAAGCGATTCTGGGTTTGATTGAGAGAAATGAAACTTCCTGTGTCCAGAGCTAGAGATCTGTAGGCGGAAGAAAATCCGAGAACCACAGATGGGAGGTGGGGGGAGCAACAAAAATGGGTCGGCATGATCCATCATTTCCGCCTTGCGATAAGAGATCATCAAAATCCTGCACTTTGAAAGCCAACAGCCTTGCGTTCATATCCCTAAAGAAAACATTTCAAGCTTGTAAACAACATCTAATATATGCAACCACGTTCTAGCAAGAGAATAGCTCCTGTGTTCTGTCATCTCCGTTCTCAACTGATGTTTGAGTTGATTCAACAAGCTTTTTAATTCAAAGTTGCATTTGTGAATATCATGTATAATGTGAATAAAAGGACACTGGTTCACCAAGAGTGTTGTGGGACATTCATATGTCATGCAACAAGGTTTGTGCAGCCCGACTGCCAGTCAAATGATCCTAAGGGCATCTCCGTACGACCTCTTGTCAGACAGACCTCTATCAGGCTCCTGTCGCACCGCACTGGAACGCGCATAGTCGAATCAAACCGAAATAAAATGCACTGAACCATGCTATTCTGATAAGAGGTATGTCTGATAAGAGGCGCAGGAACACGCTCTCGCTGTATTTGGCAGGACCTCAGCAGCCGTTCCTGAGAAACCCGCAGCCACATGAGAAGTCAAGCACCGTGTGTTCCCTGCAAAACAAAGCAACGCGCACAGTAGCAACAACAGAACGAGCAACTCTTGTCAGAAAACTGTACAAGACAGCTCCTATCACTCAAGACTCGGTGGTAGTAGGCAGCACAAGCAGAACCAGTCATTGCATGACACTTGCGCATCAGTGTGCAGGGCGACGTTAGAGCCGGGGACCATACGCAAACTCTTGTGAGGTAGCAGGGGCCAGCATTGGATGCTCTATGGCACTTACGAATCAGTGTTCAGGGCGACATTAGAGTCGGGGCCGTATGCGAACACAAGGTGCTGTGTGCTGTGTGACACATAGAAGAGTGCAAGGAGTTGGGGCACTGTGTGCTCTTTCGCACTTACGCATCAGCGTGCATGGCGACATTAGAGTCGGGGCCGTACGCGAACACGACGTGGGCACCCCCGCTGTTCCGCACCTTCACGGATGATCCGTCACTGGCCGAGCGAGTGAACCTGGAGGCAGAAAAGCGAGGAGAAGGGAAAGGGAGAGGGGCGCACAGGTGGGGTATGTTGGGGTGATGGGAGAGTGGATCCGGGTGTGGGTGCTACCGCTGTTGTGCACCTTCACGGATGAACCGTCGTTGGGCGAGCGAGTGAACTGCATTTTCAAAAGCACCAGACGGGGGACGAAGAGCTCGCTATATGCTGGTGGAGAAAGAGGGCGACCCGGGCGCCCATGACGTGGCATGGGACGACGAATTGCACCTGGAGATTGTTCTTAGTGAAAACTAACTCTATAGCAGGAGTCGCAATGACGGGGCGGGGTCTGTAAACTCACTTGACGATAGTCCCGCCCTTCTTGCCAGTGGTGACATCCAGCGAGCCGGGCGCCCGTGACGTGGCAGGGGAGGCGGCGAATTGCACCTGGAGATTTGGTACCAGGTCAAACTCACTATACACTAAAGCAAGAGTCGCAATGACGGGGCGGGGTCTGTAAACTCACTTGACGATAGTTCCGCCCTTCTTGCCGGTGGTGACATCCAGCGAGCCCGGCGCCCACGACGTGGCGGCGACGGCGGCGGATTCCCCCTGGAGATCGTACGGCGACGCGGTGCCTGTGCCCGTCTCGTACGCGACGACGTTGCTGCCGCCCATGTCGCCGTTGGGCGACCAGCCGACGGCGAACCAGCCCGCCTTGTGCGCCGCGGATCCCGGGCGCGCTTGGATGGCGAAGTGGATGTGTTTGCCCTTGGTGGCCTTCCAGTGCAGAGAGAGCCTGTAACGGGGATGAGCGGGATGAGGGTGATAAGAAAGCGAGTTCAGATGAGCGGGGATGAGAGGGATGAGGGGGCTAAGGAAGCGAGTTCAGATGAGCGGGATGGCAAAGTGGATTGTTTTGCCATTTGGTGACCTTCCATTGGAGCACCAGCCTGTAACGGGGATGAGCGGGATGAAAGGGGATGAGCGGGATGGGGAGTTTAGATGCAACATGGCGGAAAAGGGAACATTGGAACAACTCGGGACGACATCGGGATGAGCGGGGATGAGCGTGACGAAGGTGGTTCGGGGTGGAAAGAAAGTAATGAAGACAGAAAAGAAAATAAGATGACACATCAGTTCTCGTCGCTCTATCGCGGCCTGCATTGTCGCGTTATCGCGGCCTGCATTGTCGCGTACCCGTACTGGAGCTTCAACATCGAGGTATAACCCTTCAGCTTGGACTTGCCGCACATGAACCGGCCGAATGGCAAGAAAAACAAGCTGCGCCGCCATCCTGATGATCGCCCCGTCGCGGCGACCGTGGCGTTGGGAGTTAGACGCGACGCGTTCGCGAGCGGCGCGACCGCGAGAAGTAGGAGGCCGCATACGACGGCGGCTGATAAGAGGATCGGCGCGGCGGATCTCGTCGAGGAGGCGCGTGCGACGCGTTGAGTCATCGCCATGGTTGGTAAGGAGTCGACGCGTGAATACAGAAAGCGGAAGGGAAGAGGTTAACGGTGGGATCCGCTAATGCTGCTTCTGCCGGCAAAAAATGCTGACGGGTTCGACGAGTCTGTGGGATGAATTGGTGGCTCGGATGGTGGTGACGATTGGAACGGCGATGGCGACGGCGGCCGAAGTTGGGTAGGTGGTGGGCAAAAGGCGACAGCTTGAAGTAGTGAACTTTGAATAAAATGCACGCAGCCCTCGGTTGGTACGGATAAGACGTATGTGGCGGTACTTATGACAACAAATAAGGTGCAACTAGAGTACAGCTGATGCTCACCCCATGCACGCGAATTTGGCTTGCGCCGGATAGATACGCTGCACCCGAGGTTGTTTCCCCAGCCTCATGCACCTACATTACAAGCGCTTCGCGTGGTTATCAACCAATAGTAACGAACAGACCGAAGTCAAGCAGAATAGACTGAAGTCAAATATGGTAACAGATCTTGTATATAAGCACATGCGAATCCTATTTAGCTAGCTGCGAATTGACGAAATTTAGCGAAAACCTCAGTCAAAGCTTATACACCCGCTTCACAAGGCACCCGGGAGAGGCTCAAACAGGCATCAGGTGTAGTACATTCAGCACAGCAGCAACACCATTGCCAAGTTGGGAAGGTCCCACCAGTGGGCGAGTGTGCGACACACCACTGCCATTTCGTTTTACAGTGCGTGCGACACACGCCGTCGCCGAACCACACACAAAAAAAACACCAATGTGTCAGTCTCGAGTCGCAGGCGCGCTTCGAGCAGAAATTGGTGGGGCTTGACTGGTCGTAAACGTGTCGACGACGTGATGCGACGGACGGTGAATGGACGAGGCGCCTGTCATTGGCCAACGTCGTCGCAAAACTCGGTACCGAACTTGAACATCATCGCATGCGCCGCAATCGCAACGGAAAGGAAATTTCGTTGGAGCTTGTGCTGACGCCAGCTGGATGTTGCTGTCTGGCTCTGTGGAGAAATGTGTCGGTGCAATCGCGTGCCCCTTGTGGGAGGAACGTGTGCATAAACTCGTTGACTGATCAAGGTTGGATTCTCGGGCGAAGTTTGTGCAGTAATGGCAAACCGTTAACCTAGCACGGAATAGGCTTGATGTGTGCCTGGGCTGGTGTTACAGCCAATAGGCACTGGTAGCTCACCCTGTGTGGCTGGTGGTGCTCTGGGGAGGGAGGTATGGAACTTGCGGCGCTAGTTGGGGCTTGCGGAGGCTAATTGAGGCTGGTTTTGTACCCGAGCTGAACTGTCAGGAAGATTCCAACCAGATTCGTGGCTGCTGAAGCTGACATGACCTGTGGCATGTCATAGGCTAGTTGGTGTCCGCTGTGGTTCGACAGAGGGCGTTACCTGAAGCATACAATACAAATTCTTTAACATACGTGTGGAACTCATAAACGTTACAGAAATTAATTATAAAATGGAGATGGTCTCACCCGTTGACATCCTGTAAATCCTATACATGATGGAAATCAAAGCAGCTTTCTCAATAACGCTTTGCACTTATTTTACGACAAAAACTCCTTCCACACAGATGTAACACTGACTGGCAGTTGAATACAAAGTGGTACATACTCGGCAGCAAGGCTGGGAAGGTTTAAAAAGGAGAGAGAGAGAGAGAGAGAGAGAGAGAGAGAGAGAGAGAGAGAGAGAGAGAGAGAGAGAGAGAGAGAGAGAGAGAGAGAGAGAGACTATAGCATGAGCAGTTTTTAAGGGTCAGATGGCCTCCAGGCTAATTCTCATGCCCTTTCTGTCACTGTTGATGCATTTGATGAAGCCTTGATACTAGGCGAACGAGGACTGTACAGAGCAGTAGCTGAATGGAAGCGAGTGGTCAGTGGCGGGAGATGAAGAACAGGAGGCGGGCACCTAGAAGGGCTGGGTGGCTCGGGCGCTTTATGGAAGGATGGTGCCCAGAATTTGTATTCCCATAGCTCTTTTGCAGGGAGGGAGGCTGTGAAGGGTCCAACTTGGAAGTGAATGTTTTTACCAGGAGGAGGGTCTGTTCTCACACTGCCAATAGGCAGCCACATGAGAAAGCGTTTGACCCTGATTCCCTGCACATTCAGGGTATACAGCATGAGGCGTGGGCCCTGGAACGTTGCAACAGTTGCAATCACATGTATGCTACGTACCTTGACATTGAATATGCCATTCTGACAGAGATCACCAGAGATGACTTTGTCAAACTTGATGTAGTGTCCCCCGAATTCCGCCATACTCTCGTTTTTTCCCTGAGTTGCAATGAATCTACCATCAGCAGAGTTGAAAGAGACGTCGGCCAGGCTCTCCATAGGTAGCAGGCCATGTGGAAGGTTATGCTCCTGCACATACAGTTGAGGTTGAAACAACTACCTTCAAAATCGAGAATCGTTTGAGCATAATTATGAAAATAATGCAGGATATGTTGGCAATTTCTTATAACGAGAGAATATACCTTCAGTATGGCGTGAGCAATTTGAAGCGGAGAGCAGCGCTCCACGGCTTTTGGGTCTCTGACCCCTGATACCGAGGAAGGGGTCGCTGGGGTCGTTGTGTCCCGAGGAGGCATTTTAAAGCGCAGCGCCGCTATCAACTTGAAACGACTAGGATGTCCTGGTGGCTGCTAACTGAGGAGTTAGCTATCGAGACTCGGTGAGCTTGCTGATTAGTAAGGTCCAGGCGGCCGCTAAAACATCCTCACGAGTTGCTGCTTTAAGAAGCGCAGCTTCATGAACATGGCAGGTTCGGAGCTCGATCACGGATCACTAGCAGTCTCGTGTGCCGAAGCCCTGAAAGCTGGCTTCTAGACCCCAACCCCGAAAAGCAGGAAATCCGACTCTGTTGAGCACAAAAGGTACTTGTCAGGAACCTCATTACCGTTTTGATCATTCGTTTTGACTGAAAGGCTTCAGCTACAGCGTCGCTGCGTCGGTTCCACATCTCCCGAGTGGAATCTTCCGAAGCTGCGTGACGATCGTACTCAAGCTGGCCTCTACTCAACATGCTGATAGATACTTCTCGATAGTGACGTCCCAACTGGACTACTAGCTGAATTGACAGCTCGCTGTCGCTTTTGTTGGATAGATTCGCAAGGCAATCTCGCCTTGACGTTACCGCGCTGCGTGTGGCCCTGGCAGGGATCAAGCACGGATCAACACTCCCTCAGCTGTCACCATCATTGAATTTTCCAAATGACAAGCGAGAGGGAACGGAGCGTGAAGGGAGGGGCGTAAATATGTCCGGCAGATGGATCTTGGGCATGAAACGTATAGAATCATAAGGGGCACAAAACAGCATGAACTCTGGTAACGGGGTTGCTATCAGCAAGGATCACATTCGCCAATCAGTATGGGCCTTGTTTCGCCAATCATGGTGAAACCATCTCCCAGATATCTGGAACTAGGCAATTTTGCGGCGTCAGCAGGAGCTCGGGGTTGGAGGAGAACTTCACTTCAGCCATTCGAGATTGCCCATTGGCCAATAAAACCGTCTAAGGCGCAGCCAAATGTACTTTTGGCTGGGTGTATGCGAGGTGTTCGCTCGCAGAAGTCGCAGCTGCACAGTTTCAGCCAGACCTGTAACCCGGAAACCTGTCTCGATTGGGCTTGATAATTTGGTTTTGCGAACGAGAAGTTTGGAGTAACCAGGGAGCTCGAGATTTCGGGATTGATTGGAATTCTCTGACAGCCCAGCAAAAGTTTCAGCCTGGAGATTATAAGAGCCTAGGGATCATCAACTTCTCAGGAATCTCCTGATTGAAACTGGTGTTTTGTTGTCAGCAATAATCAGAGGCGAAACCATTGTTTCATAATCGTTCGCCTCTCATCAACTAGCTGCTTTCCGATTTCTGTGCCTTTCGAGGAAGGCTTATTCTCTGTCCCGTTTTACCTTTCCATCAACTCCTTCGTCAATCTTCATGGCAGCGCTTCTTCAGGTATTTTTGTTAACTTCTTTCTGTAATTTCCTTGTTAGATACTCGATAATGTTACTGTCGACGGAGAAGAAAACACATTCTGATCATCCTAAAACAAATTCTGATCATCCTTCTTAACTGTCATTCATTCCTTTCAGTCCGCATCATGCGTCGGCTTCGCCGCGAATCAGCTCAGCGGTCAGAAGCTCGCGTCACTCGCGTCGAACGCGTCGCCCAAGCAGCTGCGACGGCCGGCAACGGTGATTGAGGCAACGGCAGCACCGGCCGCCGTCGCACAGAAGGCGTCTGCGAAGAAGGGCGACGTCGCACGAGTCGGAGTGCTCGGAGCAAGCGGATATACCGGTGCTGAGGTGAGCATTCACAATCGTGTGTGATGAGATGATCCCTGAAGCGCATCAACATTCTCGGATGAATATGTTCATGCACATCACAGCAAGCCGGTACACTGGCGCTGAATTGAGCATGCACGTTCGTGTAATGAGGCGACCCCTCCGGCTCGTCAACTCTCTTCGCGACATATGTTTGAAGAAATTTCAGCAAGCAAATACCTTCACCGGCTGAATTCACAAGAATTTAGACGTTAAGAGAATGCTGACTTGGGATATAGTTTGCAAGTCAGTAGCACTTGCTGTTCTGGTAGCATTCGAATTCGCTGGATAGGTACAAATTCACCTTTTTATGCCTCCAAATGCGACGCATTTTCCACCTGACGTCGGGAAAGCGTCCTCTGAGATCACATTGCTGGCTGCTCTTCCGTTCCTCTGTTCCCTTATTCCCCTGTTCCTCCTTATCGTTCGTCTGCTGGCCTTGCATCCGTCGCTGCAAGTCACTCTCATGACGACAACTGGTCGCAATGCCAATCCTTTCGTCCTTCGTTTCTCCCTCCACCTGTGTCCCCTCCCTCGTGCATTTTTTCCCCCAGATCGTTCGTCTGCTGGCCGTGCATCCGTCGCTGCAAGTCACTGTCATGACGGCAGATCGCAAGGCCGGGCTGCCGCTCTCGTCCGTCTTCCCTCACCTCATCTCCCAGGTACAATATCACAGAGTAACATTTTCACAGAATATGTTGGGTGTTAGGATTTTTTACTGCAGCTTTTGTTGAATTGCGTGCGTGAGGATCTTCCGAGGCCTTGTGCTCTGGAATGTTCTCAAGCCTGGCGGGGAAGGTTCTCAAAATCCTCTTCCTGCTTCCTCTTACCCTCCCTCTTTAACACTCCCCTTCCACCCCGCTTCCGCTGTGGCAGACGCGGGTTTCACGCAAGTGGACTGTTATGCGCCTCGTGTGGCACAATTTGTTTTGCTCGTGTGCCATCTCTTCTTCCTCACTTCCATCCTTCTTCCCCTCCATGCCCCCCTCTCTCCCTCCCTCCCTCCCTCCCTCCCTCCCTCCCTCCCTCCCTTCCTCCAGGTCGATCTCCCCAACATGGTCGCCGTGGCAGATGCGGATTTCTCCCTGCTTTACTCTATCACTTATCCTTTGATTTGCCTCCCTGTCCGTGCCTCCCTGGCTCCCTCCCTCCCTTCCTCCAGGTCGATCTCCCCAACATGGTCGCCGTGGCAGATGCGGATTTTTCCCAGGTGGACGCGGTCTTCTGCTGCCTGCCGCACGGCACCACTCAGGTGTGTTTCAGGTGTCCAACCAGGTGGTTTCAGATGGCCGTTCTAGTGGGTCGCTCAGTGTGCCAGGTGCCCCCCCAGGTAACTTGTCTGTGCTGGATTCAAGGTTCAGCTTAGCCGAATCGAGCATGCAATTATGTTTGGTTTCCATTGTAGTGTTCATGATCATGTGAATCTGTGCAAGTCTGATACTGGGACTGGAACTGTCCAGCCTTCAATTCATGAAGGGCCTGATATCATTGCAGTTCTCCCGTCACGACTTGCTTGCAACGCAAGAGGGCTTCATCTTATTGCTTCATGACTTACTTTCTATGTTGGCAGGAAATTATTGCAGCGCTGCCCGAGCACCTGAAGATTGTGGATCTGTCTGCTGTAAGTGATGATTCCAAATATATTCACAAGCCTTAATATTTTGCATGACTCGTTACAGCCCCTCGTTCCCGGTCTAGATGCTTCACATGGTGCCACTCAGTCATGGCTCTTACATGTGCCTCTTCCCCTTGCTGCAAATGGTGCCATGTGCCATATTTGCAGGATTTCCGGTTGAGGGACGTGAACGAGTATGCACAGTGGTATGGCGGCGAGCACAGGGCGCCCAAGCTGCAGGTGAGGGGGTGTGCTGCCGCGCATGTGTGCTTGAGAGTCGAGTCGTAAGGGGAGAGGGACGTGAACGAGTATGCACAGTGGTATGGCGGCGAGCACAGGGCGCCCAAGCTGCAGGTGAGGGGGTGTGCTGCCGCGCATGTGCGCTCGAGAGTCGAGTCGTAAGGGGAGAGGGACGTGAACGAGTATGCACAGCGGTATGGCGGCGAGCACAGGGCGCCCAAGCTGCAGGTGAGGGGGTGTGCTGCCGCGCATGTGTGCTTGAGAGTCGAGTCGTAAGGGGAGAGGGACTTGAACGAGTATGCACAGTGGCATGGCGGCGAGCACAGGGCGCCCAAACTGCAGGTGAGGGGGGCGGGGCTCTGTGTGATTGACTTGAGAGAATGTTCAGAAGGGAGGAGAACGAATTTGCACGTGTATGCCCAGTGGAATGGCAGTGAGCACAGGGCCCCAACTACGTTGCCCTTACCATCCCACCTCTCTCTGTTATCTCACTTCTCCCTGTTACGCTGTGTGTGTGTGTGTGTGTGTGTGTGTGTGTGTGTGTGTGTGTTTGAGTGTGTGTCCTCTCACCAGGAAGAGGCGGTGTATGGGTTGACTGAGATCTACAGAGACGCAGTGAAGGCTGCCCGCCTGGTGAGTCAACACTGGAACTCGTATCTGCGTTCGCCAGGAAAATAGACGATTTATTAGGTTTTTTCATTCCGTTCTTTCATTCCGCGCCTCAGAGCTCTCTTTCCGCCTCTCCATTCTTTCTTTGCTTCCCCTCACAGGTGGCCAATCCCGGATGCTATCCCACGTCCGTGCAGCTCCCTCTCATCCCCCTTCTTCAGGTATAGCACGATGAAGCTCCCGCTCATGCCTGATGCCATTTCATGCCTCATCCAGCAAATGTGCACCGTCTCATGCGTCAGGTGTGATATGCCTTATTATTCCAGCACCCGATCATCCTTTATCATCGACGGTTTCCTCATGCCTGATGCCTCATTTATCAACCTCTTCGTTAGGTATGGTCTTGACTGTTTCCTCCTGCCCACGTGGCTTGCCAACCCACACAACCGTGCTCCTCTGGAAGGATTAGACGTAGGTAGGAACATGTGTCTGCGTGTCCATCTCTCTTTCTTGTCTCCCCCCACAGTCCAAGCTCATTTTGCCAGATGGCATTATCATTGACGCCAAGTCTGGAGTGAGCGCAGCCAAGGAGGGCATCTTTGGAGTCATGCTGTCATGTGATCCACCCCTACGGTTTCTTACCACATGACTGAACCCCTCCCACCTCCTGTTCTCCTGTGGTGTCTCCTTCCACCCTCCCCTTCTCCCCCGCCCTTTTCTTACAGTCCAAGCTCATCCTGCCAGACGGAATTATCATCGATGCCAAGTCGGGAGTGAGTGGAGCAGGGCGCGGGGCCAAGGAGGCGAATCTCTACACGGAGGTGGCCGAGGGCATCCACCCGTATGGCGTCACCAACCACAGGCACGGTAGGTATAGTTACAGGGTTACTATGTTATGATGCTACAGTGTGCTACATACCTGGTATGGAGCCAAGGAGGCGAACCTGTACACAGAGATGGCGGAGGGCATTCACCCGTATGGAGTCACCAACCACAGGCACGGTAGGCTTCATGTCACATCACGCACAGTTGTTGGTAGAGCAGGGATCGTGTGTGATCACTGCGCACTAGGTAGGGAGCCAATGAGGCGAACCTGTACACAGAGGTGGCGGAGGGCATTCACCCGTATGGAGTCACCAACCACAGGCACGGTGTGTCTCCTTTCATTCCAGACACAAGACTCTCTTGACAGCAGCAGCAGAAGGCAACAGCAGGAAAGTGTTACTTTCTGTTAGGGGCCAAGGAGGCGAATCTGTACACAGAGGTGGCAGAGGGCATTCACCCCTATGGGGTTACCAACCACAGGCACGGTAGGTCTTGATACGGTGTTACAGTGTTACATGGTTACAATGTTATGGTGTGCTACATACCTGATGTGGAGCCAAGGACTTTTGAGTCGACTCAAAAGTCAACTCTGATGTGGAGCCAAGGACTTTTGAGTCGACTCAAAAGTCAACTCTGATGTGGAGCCAAGGACTTTTGAGTCGACTCAAAAGTCAACTCTGATGTGGAGCCAAGGACTTTTGAGTCGACTCAAAAGTCAACTCTGATGTGGAGCCAAGGACTTTTGAGTCGACTCAAAAGTCAACTCTGATGTGGAGCCAAGGACTTTTGAGTCGACTCAAAAGTCAACTCTGATGTGGAGCCAAGGAGGCGAACCTGTATACTGAAGTGGTCGAGGGCATTCACCCCTATGGCGTCACCAACAACAATCATGGTAGGTTTCGTCTCGCATCACACTGTGGTACATTATGACAGTGTCACAGTGTGAACCATACATACCTGATGCAGAACAAGGAGTCTACTTTTGAGGCGCCTCAAAAATAGACACGTGGTACAGTATTACAGTGTCACAGTGTGTATTGTACATACCTGATGCGGAGTCAAGGAGGCTAACCTGTACACAGCGGTAGGAGAGTACTTCCGTCCCTACAGCATCACCAACAACAGACACGGAAGGCTTCACACAGAATAACACCTAGCAGTTCTCAACATTGAGCAGCGAGAGGAGGTGTGGGTGGTACTGTACCCATCAGGAGAAAATCTTGGACCCCTCACAAAGAACTTGCCTCATTCCCTCTCTACCCACTTGCCTGGCAGCGCCTGAGATTGAGCAGGGCTTGAAGGAGTCTGCCTGAGTTGGTGGGTGTGTGCTGTTTGGACGCCTTATAACAGCCCTTGATTCACTTCCTCCCCACTTTTCTGGCAGTGCCCGAGATTGAGCAGGGCTTGAAGGAGTTTGCAGGGGGAGCGGATGTGACTGTCAGCTTCACTCCCCACCTCATGCCCATGGTAATTACGACTCGTGTCCATGTAGTGGTAGCTCCTGACCATGGTAATGATGACTCGTGCCCATGGTAATGATGACTTGAGCCCGTGGTAATGATGGCTCGTGCCTATTTGATAAAACATACTGCATTCAGTCCCGTTCCCATCCTCATCCCATCCACTCAAACCCCGAATCCCCTACCATTTGCATCTCTCCCTCCCCACATCTCATCCCACCCCCCCAATCTCCTCCTCCCGCTCCTCTTCCCCCTATCTACCTTCCCCCCATTCCCACTGATCCCATCCTTTGTTTGCTCCCAGTCACGCGGCATGCTGTCAACCATCTACGTTCAGATGGCACCTGGTGCAACAGTGGACGACCTGAGAGAACACCTGATCAGCAGATACCAGGTGAGCCCCCAACCGCACAGTATGCTGTCACCATGTACTATCAACATTAGCTGTCAAAATCTGGACTTCTTTTTTGGGTGGAAGAGGGGGGTTCACAGTGCTCTAGAATCTAAAGTTGTGAGGCCTAGAACTTCTGTACCTAACTCCTGTTCCTTGCCGCTTGTCCTTGTTTGCTTCATGGAAAATCCAGGATGAGGAGTTTGTGGTGGTGCTGCCCAAGGGGATTGTGCCGCACACACGCCACGTGAGGGGCTCCAACTACTGCCTCGTCAATGTCTTCCCAGACCGCATTCCGGGCCGCGCAATCATCACTTCTGTGGTATGTTTGGTTTGCTGAAACAATACGTGGTTTGTCATTGATACCGGCATGAGTTTTTTTTTTTCGTGCTCGTACATTCTATTAATAATGAATTATTCTTCTGTTTGTTGTGCAGATTGACAATCTGGTGAAGGGTGCGTCCGGCCAGGCTCTTCAGAATCTCAACATCATGCTTGGACTTCCAGAGACCGAAGGCCTCATGCAGCAGCCCATGTTTCCCTGAAACACAAAAACGACCAGTTCAGCCTCAAGTTCTACGTGGATTGCTTTTTTATCTTATTGATTGCCATTTTGAAATGAGTTGGTCAGTAGTAACCTTAGGTTGTCAATCTGTTTGTACATGTACTGGCTTCTACTTTACTCAGTGCACTGTACTTCGTCTTAAATCGTAAATGCGGAAAGGCACATCTCGAGGATTTGTCTTCCTCCTCAAGGTGCACCTCTCTTCAATCACTTCTCTACGCACACGCTTCGGTTTCGCGGGCTTCTCTACAAGAGCCTCAATGACGATCATGCAAGTCTCTTCACAGTGCTATTCAACCGTGTAATACCGAATTATAAAGTGTGACCCCCCTGCAGTACGGCCTAGGCTAGGGAACACCGAATTCTCCTGCTATGCATGTAACATGTGAATGCCTGTAGCATGTGCTGCTCCTATTCAGTGAATGCCGAGACTGGAGTGTCTTAGACACCGAGACTAGCGTCGGAACTAGCACGCTTACACAGCCAGGGAACGGCTGTACTGACACAAGGACGGGTACAGTACCTGGTTCTTTGTACTTTTAAGGAGTGCTAGGCCTTCTGCGAGCAATGCTGTCGTTTTTAGCATGAAAGCATATGAGGTGCAGGTTTAGCTCGTCGTGACACTCTCGGAGTCGATGTTATGGTAATACTATTCTGGGATGACAGAAACGTCGACTTTCAGCTGTAGTTCATGAGTGTGAGAGGGAAAGCGAATCGATCAACCAGGATTCCGTCCCGGCTGGCCTTTAGGAATCCCATCCTCGAGCTCTTAGCCGAAGCTCCGTCCCATCTTCCCTGAAGGTTCCGTGAAGTATCGGTTTCTGTCGTGGTGCGTACAGATTCTCCGAACATTTCCGATCCTTGCTAACCCGTCATCATGCCAAAGGAGAGTCCCGCGCCGCACATTGGCTTTAAAGCAGCTCCCCGCGTGCTCCTCCCCAAGCCTCGCGACACCGTCGCCATCAACCGCCTCGCGATCCTCCTCATGTGGTTACCCGTTTTCGCGATCCTGCTCGTGATTCTCGGCGGAGCATCCGAGCGTCTCCCCGTGTGGGACACGGGTCTGCTTGATGACGTGGACGAGCAGCTGACGCGGCGAGCGCTCGCGCAGCTGCAGAAGGATGATGAGATGGCAGCCGTCGGGAGGACGCATGTCGTGGCTCCCAAGATCGCGTTCCTGTTCATCGTGCGAGGCCCGCTGCCACTCGCGCCCGTCTGGGAGCGATTTTTCAAAGTGAGCGTTCCATTAATTAGCATCTACATCTCTCAGGTCAGGGCCATCAGGGGTATATTCCGTGTGTCGAGAGATATAGCTTGACACCGTGAACGTGCATGTGTCATTGCTCAACTTCAGTCTGGATTATGCAGTTGACTCACCTAGGTTCTCTTCCCATTCTACCCCCTTTCCCCCTCCATTCTCCCCTTCTGTCTCCCACCTTCGTCTCCCCCAATCCATAGGGCCACCGGGGCGGTAACTGGTAAACGCGCATGTGTCAACACGCAACTTCACTCTGGATAAGGTGGTTTCAAGTCTGGGTACCAGCTTACCATTCACATCAATTTCTTTCTCCCTCTTGTAACAGGGCCACCAGGGGCGCTACTCCGTGCACGTGCACGTCTCCACGCCCAACTTCACTCTGGATGACGTGGTGGACTCGCCCAGCTTCAAAGGCACCCAGGTGCCGGGAGTGCGGGTGAGCTCTAGAGGCTGGGAGTGCGGTTGAGTTTTACAATCATGCATTATGAGGTATTGCAGTATGCAGCCAGGCATCGTTTTGAGACGTCTCTCACATGACGTGGTGGTCTCAGCCAGCTTCAAAGGCACACAGTTGCCATGCGTGCGGGTGAGCACCTGCCTTGTTGATGATGCTGTACAATCAGGCTCTGACGATCAGCTGTTGAACAGGCGTTTTTCAAACAGGCATGTGAAACGAGGCTTTTGTTGTTCGGCACCACGTTCTGTGACCCCTGCTCATACCCATACCCATGCCCATGCCCATGCACATGCCCATGCACATGCCCATGCACATTCACATGCCTATTCCCCACCCAGATCTCATGGGGCGGCCCAAATCTCATCCGAGCAGAGAAACGGCTTCTGGCTGCTGCCCTCGAGGATCCGGGCAACCAGCGATTCGTGCTCGTGTCCGACAAGTGAGATGGCGGTGGTTGTGGTGTGAGATGCTGTGGGGTGGTGTGAGGTGGTGTGAGGTGGTGTGAGGTGGTCAGGCTGGCGCCCTAGAGGATCCAGGCAACCAGCGATTCGTGCTTGTGTCGGACAAGTGAGATGGTGGTGGTGGAAATGGGTAATATTGAGCTATTGAGGCATTGAGATGGGTGATATTGTCATGATATGATATCGGCTTCTGGCTGCTGCCCTTGAGAATTCGGGCAACCAGCGATTCGTGCTCGTGTCGGACAAGTGAGATGGTGGTGGTGTGAGGTGCTGAGGTGTTGAGATGGGTGACGTTGTCATGATGCAATATCTGTTTCTGGCTGCTGCCCTCGAAGATCCAGGCAACCAGCGATTCGTGCTCTAGTCAGATAAGTGAGTGGGTGGGTGGTGGTGTGAGGTGGGTGGGAGTGTCTTATGGGTGTGAGGTGACATAAGGTGCTTTGAGGTTGTGTGAGGTTGTGATGCCGCCCGTGCTGATCTGGCGTCCCCAACCCTGTCATTGTTCTCCAACGTCCACATTCACTGCACCGCCCACTACCCCTTATGCTCCACCCTTGCCATACTTCTTCAATGTACGTCCACATTCGCTGTATCTAGATGCCTCCCTCCCTGTCTTCAAAGGTGTTCCACTGCCCTTTATCCTCCACTGTTGTCAACACTTGCGGACTCTTATTCTTTCAAAGTATGTCCACATTCATTGCATCCAGGTGTCTCCCCATCTTCAAAGGTTCCCTTATACACCTTACTTTCCATTCTCGTCATTCAGCTTTGACACATGTCCAAATTCATTGAATCCAGGTGTCTCCCCATCTTCAACTTCACCTACGTGTGGGACTACCTTTTCGCCACCAACGTCAGCTTCATTACCAGGTCAGAGCGATTTGAGCCGCGATTAAAACTCTTCTCCAACTGAACACTATTCTTTTTGCATGGCATGTCTCCATTGCACCTCCCATCTTCAACTTCACCTACGTGTGGGACTACCTGTTCGCCACCGTCAGCTTCATCACCAGGTGTTGTTGAGGCGCCGCTGAAATTCATCGCAAGGTGATTCTTATGGCTTCCCTTGAACTGATCACAAGGTGAAACCATCCGTCTTTAATTGTGCAGTGGGGACTGGTCTGGTGGCATGATCAGTCCCCAGTGCACCCCCTTGCCGTCAAGGTTACCTTTGTTCGGGACTAGTCATCAAGCTTCGTCACCAACTGATGGTCCGGGATAAGTTTGTTTGTTTGTTTGTTTGTTTTGTTTTGCTTTTTTTTTTTTGTGGCATGTATTAGCATTTAGAAATGTTTATAATGCCCGACATGTTTTCCTGTCAACCATTCCTTTCCCCAACCACTCGCTCTCCTCCCCTCCACTCCCCCGCTCGCCCACATTTGATCCGCACACTGACCCCTCTTGACCTCGCACCCTCCAATTTTTCCCCCGGGAAACTTGTTTCACCCGCTTGACCATCTGATACCTGCTTCCACGTATTCTCCTGTGCTCTCTTACCCAACTTCCTCCGTACCCACTCCCCTCTTTTCATGGTCCTTTTTCCCAGCTATGAGAGCGGGTGGAGATGGGTGTTTACAATGGCGCCAACGATCAAACGCCACCAGTTTAGAAAGGGGTCGCAGGTAGGCAGGGCGGGCTGTGAATGTGAGGCGAAGGGAAAAAGGGGAGCTGTAAGCTGAAAGGAGGATTTGTGAAGAGCTTTAAGCTGAATGGCGCCAATGGTCAAGCAGCACCAGTTCAGAAAGGGGTGGCAGGTGTGAAGGGGGGACTGAGAATGTGAAGAGGATGAGGCAGGGAAATGTAAGCTGTAAGGAGAATGTGTGGGGAACTGCATGTTGAAGGCGCCAGCAAACAAGCACCACCAGTTCAGAAAGGAATTGCAGGTGGAGAGAATAGCGGGGGGTGTCCTCCTTTTTAACCGTTGTGCCTCCTTTTGCTATCTGCTATGCTTGCCCTGTCTGTTACGGGTGCAGTGGTTTTCTCTAACTTGTGGCCATGCAGCCCTCAGTGTGAGGGACTGAAAATTTTGAGAATCTCCAAATCTTGCCTTGTTACCTCATCTGTCTGTTATGCTTGTCGTCGATACTATGCTCGCCTCTCTGCTGTGCTTGCCCTGTGTGCAGTGTTTGCTTCAACTCGTGCCCATGTAGCCCTCATTGTGAGGGACCAAAAGGTCTGAGACATGTGAAAACTCGTCCTGCTGCCTTCTCTGTCTTCTGTGCTTCTCCTCTCTGCTATGTGTGCAGTGGTTTGCCCTAACGCGTGCCCATGCAGCCCTCATTGTGAGGGACCGGAAGTACTATGACCTTTTCGTAGAGACCTTTTCTGAGGTATGTGATGGCATGCGGGTCCCTTCCCTTGTTGAGGACCTCAAGTGTGCAGTGGTTTGCTCTTACTCGTGCCCATGCAGCACTCATTGTGAGGGACCAATAGTACTGGGACCTTTTCGTAGACCGAGGTAAGTAGTGACATGCGGACCTCTTTTCGGAGACCTTTTCTGAGGGATGTGAAGGCATGCTGGTTCCTTCTTGAGATCCTTTATTAAGATGTTTAGAGGGGGTTACTGCTTGGCTGTAGACCTTATTCGTTGTCATCATGTTAAGATGCGCCACATATTTTGCTCTCAAATCCAGGGTCTCACGTAGTTCATTTGTTTTGCAGTTGATGTAAGGTGCTTGACTAGGATTGGTTGGCGAGGTGTAAAGTTTGACGAGGGGTGTAGCGAGGGGCGCGAAGGAAACACAATTCGCAGGTTGCATCCAAACCTTCTAGGCTCGGATTTTGGTTCGGTGCCGAAGCAAAATCACCAGCAAAATGTACGAGCTTCCCGAAAGCCTCAAGTACTCGGCAAGTTGTTTTGCAATTGAAACAGGGGCAAAATCGGAAAGGTGTCGCACATTGAATTGCCAGACCTACCTCTAAAGTTCGCCTACTCAAACAGGGTGACCGAGCTTCAAATGTTTTGCAGTTGGAGGCAGATTCTCTTACATGAGACCCTGGTTTTAAAGTGTCAGGTAGGCCTCATGCAATGTCCCTAATTCGAGGCAAACCCTAATTTCCTTATTTATGGTTCCCAAATGTTATCTGAATGGCACGCCCCTGGCATGGCATGGCATGGCATGGCATGTCACCCCCCTGGCACGACACGGCATGGCATGGTGTGGTATGGCACACAACTGGCATGGCAGATCCCTGATGAAAGCTACATTCAAACAGTTCTTGCGGTATGTTCCGCATCATGAAATTGCTGCTGACATTTACCACCATACTAGTTATTTTCCGTTGCATTTCCAATAAATGAGCTGACCTTTGTTCAGTTTGCGACTTCCATGCAACAATTGGAGTCTCCATGCAACAATTGGAATCTCCATGCCTGTTCGCAGATGCACCTGCGCTGCAGGGTAACCAGAAATAACCTTGAAGCTCAGCACTTCGCTCTTTCTTTCGCTGGCAGATTGAAGACCCTGAGAATGTGGACACGCGGAGTGTGCTCTATGTGCACTGGGGCGGGGCGATCTCACGACATCCTGCTTCATACACCCCGGAAGAAATCAATCCCGGTTTTATCCGCAAAGTACAGGTGAGGAGGTCACAAGGCACAATCTCATGTACCGTAGGTTCCACACCTTGTTTTATTGCTTGCCAGATTTGAAACTAACCCTTGTCACATTGTCTTTCTCCCCCAATTTCTGTATTGCAGCAAGATTTCATGGTGCCAGCAGAGACCATATACACGCTGACATTATCCGGGAGTCGGCCTTGCACTCTGGCTGGACAGCGCACCCATTGCTTCCTGTTTGCTCGTAAATTTGAGATAAACACCATTCCCGCCTTTTTGAAGTTAGGTGACGTCGTGGGATATTAGCAGAACGTAGCAATGCTAAATTCGACTTAGATCACACATAGTTAATGAAGTGTTTATTGTGTTATGAATGTGCAAATGTGCAGGGTTATATTCATACTGCGACGCAAACACGTTCGCTGTATGCACGTGACCACTAAAGCCATGGAATCGTAACACAATAGCGAGCAGCTTCCCCTCAACCTCCCGTGTTCCCCCCGATTCCGTTCCCCCTTTGTTGCTCCCCCTGGTTTCCGATTACTCCTCCGCCACCCTCCGCTTCTTCCTGTGCTCCCGCTTTTCCTTCGCTGACGCATGTCACTGCACTGCTAGAACAGCCCTAGAAGCTCCACGCTCTGCCTACCTCGAGTTCTAGAGCCGCTCCTAACCATTCTCAAGCACTGCTTGAGCGATAACCTTCGCAGGTGTGTAGCGTTTTGCGTGTTTTGCGTGGTTAACGCTGATTACGTGGTCTACGTGGGTATTCGTAGTTTTTGTTGGAGACTCTTTATCTGACGTTGACCTGGTAGTTTTAATTTTGAAGGCGGTATTCCGGTTGCGATCTTGGACGTGATGGCGGAGGTCGAGGGAAAGCGCGTCATCACTGTAAGATCAGATTCATTCATGCGCTTTCATTTTCTGTACATTCTGCTGTGCTCCTTCCGCCGTTTTCCGTGTCTCCGTTCCGCTCCGCAGCTGGAAAAGCAGCTCCTTTCTTCGCTACCCGAGATCCTCCTTTCACCCGACATGAAGTTCAGTATTATATGCTGTCCGTTGTTCCTTGATCGTTTCCGTCATTGTATTGCACTGCATTTTCAGGTGGATGACATCAAGACGGTGCCGATGGATTTCCGGTTTCCTACAGCGAACCAGGCGAAGCACTGCTTCACGTGCTACAACGAGTTCCACAAGTAGGACCACGCTTTCTCTGTGTCTTCGCAGCTCACTTCTTTGTCTTTGCATCTCGCTTCACTTTCAGATCCAGCATGCTGCCCTCTCAATATTCCCGAAACTTGAGTGCAAACAGATGTTATGCGTTAGTTTAGCACTTCACTTCAGATGGTATGCATATTATTTTCTTGCGGCTCCTATGACCTGCGTTATGATTTGCCAGGTGCATTGCCGAGAAGGGCGAGGGCGCCTCGGAGTGTCAGAAGTTTGCCAAGGCCTACCGGACATTGTGCCCTGCTGAATGGGTACGTCACATTCTCATGTCGCTGTGGAGTTTGGATCTGAGTGGGCATGTCCGCTTGGTCAGTGAGGTTACTCTCCTGCTTGCTGTGCTTATGTCGGGCCTGATGTCAATGATGCCTGTGTCCCTGTGATGTGTATTCCCTTCCAGGTTGACAAGTGGAACGAGGACAGGGAACAGGGTATCTTCGTGGGCCGCTACTAAGGAGTTGCGAGGATGTTCCAGCTGCATTAATGTATACCGTAGTATGAAGGGTATGGCTGCCCTATTGTTCCAGATTCCATGATATTTCATCTGTATACAGGCTCTCAATGTATCAAGTGGGTATTTCCATCCTTCAATGCAAATCGTTTAAATCATATTGGCAACAATGGATGGGATGTCATCGAAATCTGACATTTGCGCCTTTACAGGGTACGACACGCACATCCAACACCGACCAGTCACCAAGGCCAGCCAGCACGCCAAGAGGCAGAAATTCGAGCCTCCCCTCGCTCCACGATCTTGGTCAGACGTATTCGTCTCTTTCCAAATAAGCTACTGGTACGGTATTCATATCGTTATTTTTGTCACCACATTCCCCTTCTTAGACCACGCCGCCGCCTTTCAACATGCACGATTTCTGTTTTACCATTCCGTATGGCTCGCTGCTCATCCTTGGCGGGCTGATAGGCTTTTTGCGGAAGGGAAGCACAGCGTCTCTCATCGGCGGAGTAGCGTCAGGAGCGATTCTCTGTTTAATAGCGGCAATCCAGCTCAAGCTTTTCAAGCAGCGGAAGAACTCGTTTGCAGCCATTTTCGCCCAACTCGGTCCGTGCAGTATGCCTCGTTTTTCCTCGTTCAGTCTTTTGTAATTTCTTGGTGACGGCATGGTAACCAACCGCGTGTTGATACGTTTCCCCCTTAACGCTTGTTTGTAACTTGCAGCCATTGGTGGCGCATTGACTTACGTTCTTGGCGACCGATACATGACCACCCAGAAGATATTCCCAGCCGGAGTCGTTGCTGGATTAAGGTATGTTTGTTCCTCGTGAGTTCGTGTGCTTCTCCCCGTGCAAGCGGGATTACAAACGCTGCTAGCGAATGGCTCCATGTTCTGGCAAGTAGGCAAATCTGTTTGGCGATCTCGCCCCAGGCCATCTCTTTCAACCATACCGTATTGCTGTGTTGTCCGTGTTCTGACAAATCACAGTGCCATAATGACCCTCTTCTACGCCTTCAAGCTACTGACTGGTGGCAATCACTTCAAGAAAGTGGCAGCCTCCTAAACCCGATTAGTTATTGTTATCCGTAACAGATGGCCACCTCCTAAACCTGATTAGTTATTGTCATCCATAACAGATTAAGTCCTGTGCTGCTGTCTAAATTACTTTCTAGGATACTGTGTTTGCCATCTTATTTATAAGTGTAGTGCGTTTTGCTCTGTAATGAGTTGTACGGTTTCATGTAAAACCGTTTTACGGTACTTGCTGAAAAGACACAAGCCGACCCGAGACAAACATTGAGTCGGGAGATGGTCGACCCAAGTAATGCACAGTGATGACTACGGTAGCTTCAAAACGTGGAGCCATTCCAACCAAAATCTGATCTCTGCACAAAAAATAGGAAAACCATTAGTGCACGAAGCTGGGTTTATCACAACGCTGCAATAGGATGTGCATTCGTCTATTGATGACAAGCATGTAGACAATGGCACTCTGATAAATGCCCACTATCCGAGACCTGAATACAGGCACGGCACACAAATAAGCACAGTGACATGAAACCTCGTGATCCAGAAACAAGAGTGAAAGCTGAGCCACATACCTTCACGTCATAAAACTTGATGTAAAAGCGATTGGGTGGAACAGTTAACTTGGCTTCAAGAATCTCAGAAATTGCAGCACTGAGTTTCTTATTCGTGTCTGGACCCAGCCCGCCGATTGAAATCAATTCGGCATAGGCTGCAGGAGCTTCCGTTCCGGCAAAGCACATTGGGATTGACGTTTTCACGGAGATCATTACATACTGCAAGCCAGGAAAACGCAGGATTGAGCCTCAGTCTTGTACCTAAATAGTATCTCTAAGATTTTCGGAACTAGATTGACAAATATGCTTACTGCTTCAGGCTTGCCGATAACTCTAGCCACGACTTTACTCAAATCCTTCATGACATCGCTGATCACAACGTTATCGCCAGGTACGTTTGTCTGCACGTTGAGAGTCGGCATGTCGGCTAAGGCACCGGTCTACAGGTTCAACTAGTAAGTAGAATGACGGAGATAAAGCCTGTGGTATGCCAGAAGAAAAGAGACGGAAGAGGCGCGGAATGAGGAAATAGCAGACCTTACGCCCAAGGAATACTTTATGTCCCAGTCTCTGGAGTAGGGTGTGTGAACCCTGTCGGGCCTAGGGATGATGACTTACACATTCGCTACAAGCCTACCCAACCATTCAATCATTTAGACAGAAATCTGTGAATCGTAATAAATCCTACTGAACCGTACTGCATTTAGTAAATTAAGCTCAATAGCAGCAATTCCAACTTCTAGGTGGTTCTCGTCGTTGCGTTTCGCGGATTCACCCAGACTCCATGCAGTGAAGTTGTGGCGAATGGTGTACTGTAACAGTGCATCGGAGGTGTATTCACTCGCCAATCAAAACATGAAACATAAGAACTAGGAGTTTTACTTCACAAGAGCGAGACTGACCGCAAAACGAGTACCTCCCACCACTGGAGACTGGGGGAAATGTATTAACGGCTAGGCTCCTTAGCTATTACACTCTGCAGTTCTGACACGTGTTTTCAGGTCTCGGCTCGAGTCGTCACTAATCTGGTGTAACTGCGTTCGGTCGCGGATTGGATACTAAGTTCCAATACAGAGTTGGAGGTAAAGGATCGTTGCTACATTGCTGCTACCACCGTAGATTCACATTTTCCGAATCTGACGTTCAACAATGGGGTTCGGCCGGCAGCTGGTAGCTGCTGACGCGTACCCGGCATCGCCGCTCGGCAGAAGCGTGACGCGAGGGTTCGCCGTTGAACTTTATCTCGACACGGCTTTGGAGAACCAGATACTCAGGGTGTGACAATTTTGTGAATCGCATAGAATCGTCGATTTTCTCCTTGGTCATAAGAATGGAAATCCATTTAGTTAGACTTCTAAAGAAGACCCAGTCACTTTTACTTTCTTTTGTCGCGTCATGAATCCTCCGGAATCCTCAGCTTTCCGATGCGGCTTTTTTCAACCTCTTCAGTTTTTTTTAACGCATCTGATTTTCTCACCGATCAACCCCTTCCGTGCTGCTGTCCCATCTGTGTGCATTTTTCCTCCTCCGCACGTGAAGATTTGGAATGTGCTGCCAAGCCGAAAGCTGGGGAAATACCTGATAGAGACATCAGCCAGGCCGCATGTCAGGTCAGCAAGGAGCACAGCCATTAACATTGGTGTCTTCTGAGTCGAGTGTAAATACACCAAGACATAGGAAGGCTAGGGAGCTACCTGATAGTGACATCTGCCAGGCCGCATGTCAGGTCAGCAAGCAGCACGGCCCTTGACATTAGTGGATTTGAGTCCAGCTCAAATACAATTTAATTGTATGAGGCACCAAAGCCACCTGATGGAGGCAATTAGCCAGAGGTGACTTTTGAGTCGACTCAGAAGTCACCTCAGTTGAAATACGATTTTATAATGTGAGGCACCAAAGCCACCTGCTGGAGGCATTTAGCCACTTTTGTGTGAGGCTAGCAGCCGTTTTCATTTATGTTTCTTACGCTCTACCTTCTCTCCCCATTCATCGTTCGCTTTTCCCTCGTTGACCATGTGAATTCCCCTGCATTCTCCCTCTCAACGCCTCACTCAATGAACCTGGAGCAACCAGAGACCTCGAGGCTGTGCTTTGCAAAGACATTGAAATCTCCTCCCCCCCTTCCCCTCTCCCTTGTCACTTGCGCGTTTCCGCTCCAGTTTCACTTTGCACTGATTCGATTCTATTTGATAAAATCAGGAGTTCTAAGCTCCGCACACCCGTTTTTTCTAATTTGCTTATCTCTCCTTCCCTTCCATTCACTCCCCTCCCCTGTGGATTCCAGTCTCTCTCTTCACACCCCATCGGATCTAGAATCCTCCAAGCTTCGCACAGCCATAGAGAACATGCATGGTTGAGGGTGGGTACTTGCATGGTTGAGGGTGGGTACACGCATGGGTGAGGGTGGGTACATGCATGGGTGAGGGTGGGTACATGCATGGGTGAGGGTGGTACATGCATGGGTGAGGGTGGGTGCACACCTGGGTGTGTGACTGGTTGCAGTGTTGGTTCTCTCGCTCTCTTGCTCCTTCTCCCTCTCAACACCTCCTCCTCCCTCCCAACAGGCAATCCCAGTGGCCAAGGCAGGGGAGTTCCATCGCCTGGTGGACTATTGCCTAGAAGGGCGGTACTAGGTTCCGTCCCTCACTCTCCTGCTCACTCTCCTCCTCCCCTCTCCTCACTATCGTCTAGACGGGGGGTACAAACCAAGTCAGCTGCAGGCCGTGCCTGCACAATCCCATCTTCTCTTCCTCCCCACCACCCTCTCAGGCAATTCTAGTGGCCAAGGCAGGGGAGTTCCGCGGCCTGGTGAGCTATCGCCTGGAGGGGCGGTGCGATGCTCTTTCTCCCTTTCTCACGCACCCCCCTCCCCCCCTTCCCCCTTCTCCGTCAGGCAATCCCAGTGGCAGGGGAATTTCATCGGCTAGTGGACTATCGCCTGTAGGAGGGGTACGATGCGAGTCAGCTGCAGGCAGTGATATGCCTTGTCAGCAACCCCAAGGACCAACCCTCCATGGCTGATGTGAGTGCTGAGTTGACTTTGGGTTGACTTGAGTTGACCAGATTTGACCTGAGTTAACTCGTTCTAGATGGGCTGTAGTTTGCAGTGCAGCTCTACAAGTGACCGTTTAGTTGATTCAAATGTCTCCAGCAGCCATTCTTACCTTCCTCGTTCCACCGCACCTTACCACCCTGCACCGCACCCCACTCATGCAGGTCGCCAAGTGGTTGACCTCATGGGTGGGGCACCATAAGCCCAGTGCCTGATTCGATGGTTCAAAGAGATGTGGTAATGGGATGGTGAAAGGGGATGGTGAAAGGGGATGGTGAAAGGGGATGGTGAAAGGGGATGGTGAAAGGTGTTGGTGAAAGGGGATGGTGGTGACAGGGGATGGTGAAAGGTGATGGTGAAAGGCGGTGGGGCAAAATTTTACCAGGATTGAGCAAGCAGTTCACGAGGCACAATGTAAGTGCAAGAGCGTGTTACAGGTGCAGACAGTGACATGAAGACGTGTTACCGAGACTGAGCCTTGCCTCTCGTACTGTTACGTGTCATTAGGAGAAAAAAAAGGATAGCTCGTGCACACCACGAAGTATATTGGAAGCCCTATTCATAAACCTGGGAATTGGGACACAAGTTCAAGTCAAACAGTTAACTGGGAAATGGGCTGCGCAACCAAAACAATTGATGCATAGATGACTAGCTTCATACTAAGCCATCTAACGTGGAGCCATTCCAACCGAAGTCTGCTGCCTGCACAAGAAAAATGAAATCCATTAGTGGATGAAGCTGGACTTAACACAAAGCGGCAAAATGTGCATTCATCTACAGATGACAAGCATGTAGACAATTGCACTCTGATCAATGCCTTTATCCGAGACCTGCAGGACGACATGAAACCTCAGGATTCAGAAACAAGAGTGGAAGCTGAGCCACTACCTTCACGTCATAGAACTTGATGTAACAGCGGTTGGGTGGAACTGTTAATTTGGCCTCAAGAATCTCCGAAATGGCAGCACTGAGTCTCTTATTCGTGTCTGGACCCAGCCTGTCGATTGCATTAACTTCGGCGTAGGCTGCGGGGGCTTCCGTTCCACCAAAGCACATTGGGATTGACGTTTTCACGGAAATCATCACATACTGCAAGCCAGGAAAACGCAGGATTAAGCTTCAGTCTTGTTCTTGAATTGCATATCAACGATTTTCGGAAACTATACGTGACGAAAACGCTTACTTCTTCAGGCCTGTCGAGGACTCTAGCCACGACTTTACTCAAGTCCTTCATGACGTCGGTGATCACAACATTATCGCCAGGTACGTTTGTCTGGACGCTGAGAGTCGGCATGTCGGCTAAGGCGCCGCCCGCGGATTGAACTAGTACGTATAAGGACGGGGATAAAGCCTGTGCTACGCCAGAAGAAAGAAGGCGGTAAAGGCGCGGAATGAGGAAATAGCACAACTGATATGTCCCACTCCCCGTACTGCGGTGTCTGACAGAATTCGGGCACTTGGATGCTGTTGGGTACGAATTCGTTGCAACCCTACCCAACCACTCGATTGTTTGAACATAATTTCCTGCATCGAATTAAAACAAACTGAACCGTACTGAAATCCAGTGGACCATTCCAATTTGTCTGGCGCGGTGCATTCCAACCGGTTCATTCCAACTGGCGCGGCGAGGAACTTCATTCCAGGTTCAGTTCAGACAGATCCCTCGCCTTTGCCGTATGCCTACACAATGCAAGGATTTCACTGATCGCGACGAGTGATGTACAGTGCGCCTGATCAATTCACTCGCCAATAAAAAGATGAAACATAAGAGCTGATGAGAAAGTTCAGAAGGGATAAAGGTTTACTACACAGAAGCGAGTCTGACCACAAAGCGAGTTCTTAGAAGACTCATGATGGGGGGGAAATTGCAGGGTATACGACAACAAGTCTCCCCTCCAATAATCCTTCCCAAATGGCTCTTTGCAGTTCCGACAGGCATTCTGGTCTCGACTCGCGTCGTCGCTAATGTGGTGTAACTGCGTTTGGTCGCGGATTCCATACTAAAAGTCCCAAACCTAGGTTGGAACTAAAGGATTGTTGCTACATTGCTGTTACCATCGTAGATTTCGCTTTTTCCGAATCTGGCGTTCAGCAATGGGGTTCGGCCGGCAGCCGGTAGCTGCTGACGCGTACCCGGCATCGCCGCTCGGCAGAAGCGTGACGAGAGGATTCGCCGTGGAGCTCTATTTCGATACGGCCCTGGAGAACCAGATACTCAGGGTACGGCGATTCCGAGAAGCTCAAAGACTCGTCGATTTTCCCAAGTAAAAAAAAAAAAATGGAAATACATTTTGTTACAGTCCTGGAGGGTACGGTTTTGGAAATGACCAAGCACTTGAAAGGACCCAGTCTCTGTACTCGCTTTTCGTCGCGCAGTCGATTTTCTAGCATGCGGAGCTTTCAGATACTTAACTAGCTTTCACCAACCCCCTTATTCTCTATTTTGAAACCACTATTGAGAAAATTTCAAAAGCGATTTCGCCCTTTTTATCTCTTTTTTTATTTTCTCCTCCCAACCGGCTACGCTCACCGAATTCCCTCCGCACTTGCGGGCCTCTCTGTTCGCACTATTTTTCCTCCTGGTCCATGAAGATTTGGAATGTTCTGGCGAGGCGACGGTTAGGGAGCTACCTGATAGAGACATCTGCCAGGCCGCATGTCAGGTCAGCACGCAGCATACCCGTTAACGCTAGTGAATCTGATCAACCAGGGGGCCCCCGGGCAGATCTTAGGACAGACTCTCCAATCCTTCCACACACACCCACAACCCACCCCTCCCCCCCCTCCTCCCCGGGCCCCCACTCACCCCCCCCCCCCAACTGCGTCCCAGTTTGCCTTGTCCCACGCACCTTTTCTTTTCTCTCCTGTTTCGCTTTGCACACCACGCAATTTGGTTTCATTTGATCCGATCGGGAGCCCTAAACTCTCCGCACCGTCCATTTCTTTCTCCCATTCTCCTTGTCTCTTGTTTCTCTTCCTTCGCTCCTCCCCTGTCCACTCCAGCCTCTCTCTTCACACCCCGTCTGACCTGGAACCTTCCAAGCTTCGCACAGCCATAGAGAATTTCGCGCAGCAGCAGCACCCGATTCCAGTCGCTCTGGCTGCGGTCGGGAGCTTCCCAGCAGCTTCCGTGTCGCGACCCGCGTTCTCTCCCACGGCGGTCAACAGCACCAGCCATGCTTCGACAGGGAATAACTCTGTAACGAGTACAGATGGTGGGAATAGCAGCAGCACCAGCAGTCCAGGTGCACGTGCATCCAGTGGTGCTGCTGGTACTGGTGTTGGTGTTGGTGTTGGAGCTGCTGCTGCTGCTGCTGCTGCTGCTGCTGCTGCTGCTGCTGCTGCTGCTGCTGCTGCTGCTGCTGCTGCTGCAGCTGGTGGGGCTACGGGTGTTTCGAGCCCAAACTCTCACCCTGGGGGAAACAATGCAGCTGCTTCCGCCACAACCACGAGCAGCAGTAGCAGCATCAGCAGCAGCAGCAGCCAATCAGTCGATCCCACTCGCACAAGCAACAGGGGCACTGTTGCTGCTGCTGCGACTGCTGCTGAGGGCTCCAAAGCAGCACCGGCAGCCACCAGTGCGCTGTTTCTGGCACCAGTTCCTTCTATTGCTCTGCTCACACTACACGAGCAACTGCAGGTGAGTGTGCCTGTGCCCTTTGTGTGTGTTGTGTGTCTCTCTTCGATTGCCCTTCTTACACTGCACAAGCAACTGTGTGTGCGTTTTAGTCTGCTGCTTGTGCATTGTGTGCGTTGATGCATGTGTGCGTTGATGCATGTGTGCGTTGATGCATGTGTGCGTTGATGCATGTGTGCGTTGATGCATGTGTGAAACGACGCACATTCAGGTGCGATTTAAGTTTACTCAAGTCTGTCCCACTTTAACTCCTCTTGCCCATCACCACTCTGCACTTCTCTGCACCTCTGTGCACCCCTCAGGAGCTCCTGAAAAGACTAGCCATTCCTTGCGACCCCAACTACCTGCCCGGATCCTGGCTGCCCGTCTGCCCGATCACCCAAGAGCTGCCCGAAGAAAAACTTCCCAGCAGTTTCCACACCGTTCGATCCCAGAAGTTGCCTCTTTCCGGGCACCTATGTGAAATAGGCCTTGTGGAGTTTGTCCCATCTGGTGCTGGCGCTGACTCACGCCAGCTCAGCGCCATCAAGGCGGATGGTGGCATGGCTGGGGTTGCTGTGATTGGTAGTGGTGATGGGGAGAAGGGATGGGGGAGGGAGAAGGAAGGCGGGGTAGTACAGGGGCGTGTTATAGAGCATTACTCCTTCACACTTGGAGGGGACTTCATGTGATGTGACTGAACGCCTCCACCAGAAGGTACTTTTGAGTCGACTCAAAAGTCAACTTGGAGGGGAGTTCATGTGATGTGAGTGAACGCCTCCACCAGAAGGTACTTTTGAGTCGACTCAAAAGTCAACTTGGAGGGGACTTCATGTCATGTGACTGAACGCCTCCACCAGAAGGTATTACATGATACCTTGATTGGCAGTTCACTCACACATGTTTCTGTGCAGGTTCAGGGTGCTAACGTTTCCTTTTCAATCCAATTGCACAAATAAACTCGACTGATTGGTACCAAAGTCACTGAACCTGCCTCACACTATCGACTACCAGTGCTTGACTTGTGCAATCCATGAGTGATTCTTCCAATAGAACATCCTTGTGTTGTGTGCAACAGCATTTGTGTGTTGACTTGAATCATGGCCAGGAGGGTCCCATGGAAGCAGCATCTGCCTAAGAAAGAGGTAGTTGTCCCTGTCTTGACCTGCTGTTGCTGCTGCTGCTCTGGTGCTGCTGTGTCAGTGCACCATTCACAGCCCGAGACTAGTGCTTCTTTGACTCTACACTGCAGCGTTTGTGTATGGGTTCGGGCTGCAGGCAGGTGAGCCTCTGGGAAGCAGCATCTCCTTAGCAAGAGGTAGTTGTCCCTGTCCACGCCTGCTGCTGCTGATGCTCCTGCTGCGAACCATAATAATGCTCCCTTCTAAGCAGCAGCATTTGTGTTTTGGTTCGGGTTGCTAACCGAAGGCCCCCGCATCTGCCGGAGCAAGAGGCAGTTGTCCCTGTCCACACCTGCTGACGCTGCTGCTTCTGGTAACAATAACCTCTCCTCTAAGCAGCAGCGTTTGTGTTCTGGTTCGGGTTGCTAACCGAAGGCCCCCTGGGAAGCAGCATCTGCCTGAGCAAGAGGTAGTTGTCCCTGTCCACACCTGCTGCTGCTGCCACCTGCATGCACACACATGCACGCACACACATGCACGCACACACATGCACGCACACACAAGTGAATACAGGAATGCACGATGCACGCACATACAAGTGAATACAGGCATGCACGATGCATGCACACAAAAACGCTGAGTCAGTGGCACCAGCTGCAGCAACAGCAACGCCAGCAGCACCAGCAGCACCAGCAGCACCAGCAGCACCGGCAGCTGCAGCGGAAGAAGAATCTGCAGAAGCTACAAGCACGTACCTTGAATACTTGATGCCGGTGGGTGTTGAGTGCACTGGAAGCAGCACGAGGCAGGCAGTTGACGGACAGGGCCTCGAGCAGCAGCAACAGCAGCAGTTGCTGTCTCGCTCATATGGTGGTCTTACCTTGTATACTTGATGCCTGTGTGTGTTGAGTGCACTACCAGCAGCAGGGGGCAGGCAGTTGACCGACAGGGCCTCGAGCAGCAGCAACAGCAGCAGTTGCCAGTGGGGGCGGCGGAGAGAGGCGAGGGGCGAGCGGAAGGCAAAGGTCGCAAGCAGACGAGTCTGCATTGGAGGGAGAGGGGGGAGAAGTGAGAAGGGAGGGGAAAAACAGAAGAATTGAAAAAGAAGGGAGAGGTGGGTGATTGCAACGACAGCAGCAGCAGCAGCAGCAAAAGCGGCGGCGGCGGCAGCAGTTACGAGTGGGGACGATGCAGGGAGGGGAGGGGCAAGCGGAAGGCAAAGGTGGCAAGTAGAGAAAGATCACCAAAGAAAGCATCGAGGTGGACTCAAACAGCAGCTCAAGTGGACTCAAACGTACATCCCCACAGCAAGCTCACCAGTGCGTGTTCAACAGTCAACAGCGGCAGCAGCAGTCTATCTTTGTGTCGACTCAAAAACACGTTTGAAGTGAACTCAGAAGTACCTCCCCATAGCAAGCTCACCAGTGCGTGTTCAACAGTTGACAGCGGCAGCGGCAGTCTATCGTTAAGTCGACTCAAAAATACGTTTGATGTGGACTCAAACGTACATCCCCATAGCAAGCTCACCAGTGCTAGTTCCACAGTCGACAGTGTCAGCAGCAGCCCCAAGCTTTCCACCACCCCTGCCGTCTCCCTCCCCAGACCATCCCCAAGAGTCCTTCAAATCATAGCAAACTCACCAGTGTGTGTTCCATGGTCAACAGTGCTAGCAGCAGACCCAAGCCTTCCACCACACCTGCCGTCTCCCGGCCCAGGCCTTCTCGCAAAGTCCTTCGGATCTCAGCTGCTCTGGCAGCCTCAGGCACGGACCCCAGGAGAGCAGGGAACTCCCACCCGTTCGCTTACTAGGTTGAGGACTGGACTCAAAAGTGCATCCCTAGACCTAGAGAAAGTTTCACATAGCAAGCTCACCAGTGTGTGTTCCACAGTCGACAGTGGCAGCAGCAGTCCCAAGCCTTCCACCACACCTGCCGTCTCCCGGCCCAGGCCTTCTCCCAAAGTCCTTCGGATCTCAGCTGCTCTGGCAGCATCAGGCACGGACCCCAGGAGAGCAGGGTACTCCCACCCGTTCGCTTCCACGCTCGATATCACACATGGTGGTTGAGATGGTTGCTGTGGTGGCTGGGGCGATTGTGGTTCTTGTGCTGGTGTCTGTGGTTGCTGTGATGGTGGTGGTGGTGGTGGTGGGTAGACGAGGCGAAGCGAGTCGGCAGTGACCCACTCCTGAAGAGCCATGAGGAGAGTGCAGTGAAAGGGGAGCTGGCGAGGGGGGCAGGGAAGCAGACAGACAGGCAGACAGCGAATGAGAACGTATGGGAGGAGAGTGCAGGGCGGCAGGCAGGCACTGAGGGGAAGGCGATTGGTAGGCAGGAAAGGGCAAGAGACACAAACAAGAAGGGCGGAGCAAGCAAGAGACACAAACAAGAAGGGCGGAGCAAGCAAGAGACACAAAGAAGAAGGGCGGAGCAAGCAAGAGACACAAACAAGAAGGGCGGAGCAAGCAAGAGACACAAACAAGAAGGGCGGAGCAAGCAAGAGACACAAACAAGAAGGGCGGAGCAAGCAAGAGACACAAACAAGAAGGGCGGAGCAAGCAAGGAGGCTTTCGAAGCGTCATCTTTAACTTACTGGGAAATGATCTTTAAGCTCTAAACCCTCACCTGCATTATGAATCCTGGGGGAGGAGCCTCAAACCATTTGCATCCACCCCGCTGCTGCTGCCTGTGTGGTAACCAGGTAACTACCTGACTCCCGCTCATTCCCAAACTGTAAACCCGAATCCTTGAGCTTGAACCCTCACCTGCATCTTGAAGCCTGGAGGAGGGGCCTCAAACCCTCCACAGTGACCTGCAGGCTGCTGCTGCTCTTGTGGTAACCAGGTAACTCCAATAAACCCTCACCCCAAACCCCCCGAACCCTCACCTGCATCTTGAAGCCTGGGGGAGGAGGCTCAAACCATCCACAGCGACCTGCTGCTGCACGTGTGGTAACCAGGTAACACCCAGTCATTTGAATACCGTCAAACCGAAACCATAACCCAACCCTAAACCCTCACCTGCATAATCAAGCCCGGACAAAGAGCCTCAAACCATCCACAGCGACCAGCTGCTGCACGTGTGGTAACCAGGTAACCTTCTCATGCAACGAAATCCCCTCACCTGCATCTTGAAGCCTGGGGGAGGAGGCTCAAACCATCCACAGCGACCTGCTGCTGCACGTGTGGTAACCAGGTAACCTTCTCATGCAACGAAATCCCCTCACCTGCATCTTGAAGCCTGGGGGAGGAGGCTCAAACCATCCACAGCGACCCGCTGCTGCTGCCTCTGCCCCTCCCTCCACGCCCCACCCTTCTCTTTCCCCCATGCCTTCTGCACCCCTGCCAACCACCCCACTGCTCCCCTCCCTCACTGCCCCCTCCCTCACTGCTCCCTGCTTCTTCCCCCTCCCACCTCCCCGCTCCTTCCCACCTCTCTCCCCTGCTGCAGTCCCCTCTCCCCACCTCTCCTCCCGTCCTGCGCTCCCCCCTTCTAACTCCACCTCACCTCTACCCCTCCCCCCGCTGCCACTGCCACCCTTCTCGTCCTGTGCCACTGCCAGCCTGTCATCTGCCGCCCAGGTTACATGCCTCCCCTCCTCCCTCTGCGCACCTACTTCCCGCCCGCCCTTCTCCCCAGACACTGCTTTCTTTAAAGCTGGTCGCAGCTCTGCTGTTCGCCCCTCAACTGCTTCTTTCCCTGTTGCTGTCGCTGCTGCTGCTGTTCCATTCGCCCCTGCCCCGTCCCCTGCTCCTCCTGTTCCTCCTGCTTCTGCTGCTGCTACGTCTAACGTCCCACCAACCCTGTCACCCACTCCCACCCCCATGCCGCCCCTAACGTTCTCATTCTGCTCGCCCCCAACCCACCCCTCCATCCCCACACTCGGTGCAAACAACTCATCACACGTCCCTGACGCAGTAACCACTTGAGACATTATGCTCTGAGCAATGTTATCTCCTCTCCCTCTCTCTCCCCCTCTCTCCCCTCCTCTCTCTCCTACACTCTCTCCCTCTCCCTCTCCCACTCTCTCTTCCCTTCTCACTCCTCTTTCTTTCCCTCCCTCTCCCTCTACTAGCATGCTCCGCGCTGTGCCATGCTGAGAGAAGAACCCTTTATTGACCGCCTCAGTACCATGCCGAGGAATGTACCCTTCAATCGCATTATGCACTGCAGACTCAAAGCCTCCAGACGAAGACAGCCCGTCTGTTGCTGCCGCATCTGCCCCTGTGCCAGTAACCCCTGTGCCAGTAACCCCTGTGCCAGTAACCCCTGTGCCAGTAACCCCTGTGCCAGTAACCCCTGTGCCAGCACCCTCTGAGCTAGTAACCCCAGCGACAGCAGCCCCTGGAATGTTCTCCTTCAGCAGTAGAGGCGGAGATACAGCGTTGCTAGCACTACTGCTGCTGCTGCTGCTGGTGGTCGTGCTGGTGCTCCCGCTGCTGCTGCTGCTCGTGCTCGCAGAGACATGAACCTCGTCTGCCCCAGCAACTTCAGTAACCTTCTCGTTTCCGCAGCTGCTGCCGCCGCCGCAGCTGCCGCTGCCGCCGCTGCTGCCGGTGTTGTTACTCGTTGTGTTGGCACTCGTGCTACTAGCGCTGATGCCACGACTTCTTCCTTTCTCTTTCTCCTCCTCCTTCCTCTCTCTCATACCCTCATCCCCCACCCACTCGCGCACCTCCACACCCCTCCCCACCCCTGCTGCATCCAACACCCCTTGCAAATCCTCTTTATAGAGCAACTCTCTATGCTCAGGCAGCGACAGAGCTACACTACCACTGGTGCGCATACACACAGCACTGCAAAACCTCAAAATCTCCGCTTTCTTAAAAACTTTTCCCTCAGCCCTGACTAATTTGAACCTCCCTTTCCCTTCCCCGTACCGAGCTTGTAACACTTGGTTGCAAAGCGGGTTACCACAAAACCCCCCTATTGCACGCTCCTCCACTATAGCATCGTACTCGCTTCGGCTGAGCAATCTGCACGCCGCTGCTAACTGGCTGGCTCGCACGTCGAACGATGGTGTGACTGTAGGTGATGTGACAGTATCATGTTTGCCTGTATCCTGAGTGACCCTACTGCTGCTGCTGCTGCTGCTACTGCCGCCGCTGCCACTGCCACCATTGCTGCTGGCGCCAAGATCGAAAGGATCAGTCCCGCTAGAGTAAACGTCGCGGATCAGCAGCGCCTGCAGTTTGAAGACGGCGGATCGATGCGCCTCCAGCGCGGTGGCGTGCGCCTCAACCTCCGCCTTCGCCGCTTTCATGCGCTCCTCCTTCTCCCGCGCCGCAGCAGCCGCGCCGGCTGCGGAAGACGAGGAGCCAGTTCCTGCCGCTTTCCCCGCCCCTTTCCCCGTCCCCGCCTTCCCCTTCCCTTTCGCCGCTGCTTTACCCGCGGCTTTCTTTCCGCCTGCTCCGCTGCTCCCCAATTTTGTCGCTTTTTTCTTCGGCGCCTCCGCGCCATCCGCTTTTGCGCCGCCCGCGCCCGCGGTTCCGCCTTCCCCGCCCGCGGTTGCGCCCTTCCCCCCAGGGTTCGCCCCAGAGGGTGGCTTACTACTGCCAGCAGACGCAGAGGAAATTGCTGCCGTGTTACTCACGTCACTGCCGCTAGGGTTACCATCACTCTTAAAGCTGGTGGTTGCAGGTATCACCCCGTAGTCGAAGATGGGTAGGAACGACATGGTGCTCGCGGGTTCGAATCCTAATAGCTGATACAAGTGAATGGAACGAAACCTGAGCTGATATTCGACGAATTGATCACCTTCTGCTCACGTCACAATCGGCTCATTCTCAAAGACGCAGACGAGCGAGTGCTATAAAACTCGTGCGACTGCGAAAACGAGTGGGACTTCACGAACGGCGGAATTGGCACGGAGTGACGAGGGAAGCAGTAAGAAATGAATTTGATCCGCGAAAAGTGATCACTTCAGAAAAAAATGACCATCATTCGTACCTAGGTATGGTCTGGGACTCGGATGATCACTGGGGCACTCGCGTCCAAGATGCGTCTGATTCGTGATTCGTCAAAAGCTATTGCGTTATTAACTAATAGCTGTACACTATCGGTTTTTTGTTTCGCGAAACTTCGATTTCCTCACATGGTAATGGGAGGAGCACCAAATTCCCATCCGCGATATAGGTTGCACGTTCTAGAGTGTTCGATGCGACATGAGTGAACTTGGCCAACTGGAGTTCATCCAATCGCAGCGCATGCCGCCCCGTAGCACCTGTAACAGTGTGGCAGCCGAATGCTGCCAAGTACAATACAGGTGGGCGGAAGTCAAGCGCCACCTCACCAACTGTTCGTATTGGTCAAACGCCTCAACCTGCAGCTGAGCGACCAGGTCCTGACGCGCAGCCCAACACAAACCCTCGCGCGAAAATTACGAAACGCAGAACACCGAAGTTCCGACCGCTCGCCGACTTCGCCAACAACACCGACGAAATTACAGCCCCGTAACCAAGCTCGCCGTCCAATCCCGTACCGCAATAATTCTCTGAATTTCACGGCAGGTTCATTTCAAAGGGGTTGGGTTACCATTGAGAAATTCAGAGAGAGTCGCGACTTGGGAGTGCGACTCGATATTTGAATGTGCTCTATAAAATTGTACTGTGAAATTTGTGAAGTCATAGTGCAATTTCCAGAGAACTCCAAAGAGCACTCTATCCTCGTTTTCCTAGCCTACTAAGGCTGCTACTTCCCTGCCAGCAACGTTTCACTGGTATCAGAGCCTGGTTAGTTATTTCGCACGCTCCCGCCATATTCTAGACCCTATGGCCGGACCGTCTGATATGGCGCCGGAACTCTGGAACGAATTTGTGGCGAATATGCGCCGAGAAATTGAACGCGAGGCGCGTGACCGGATCCTCGGCGAACTCCAGGAACGTGGACTCCTGGGCACACAGGTGCCGACGCCAGCACCTGCTGTGGTTTCTGCACGACCCAAAGCACCCGAACCTGAACCGTTCATCCCTTGAAAACGTCACTTACCGGTGCGATGGTGGCTTCTCCAAGTGGAGGAATACCTCTCCCTTTGTCATGTCAACCGGGCGGAGTGGGCTCGGCACGCCGGCATGACGCTGAGGGGTGCAACTGCTACTTGGTGGCAGAGTTGTCATGCTACGATTTCAACTTGGGAAGAGTTTTCTGCATCGCTATTAATGAACTTCGAGCCGATCAACTTCATCGAGCGCGCACGTGACAACCTCGCTGAATTACGCCAACATCGCTCGGTCGCTGAGTACATCAACCGCCTCCGCGAGCTCGTGCTTGAGATCCCTGACATCCCTGCTGCTGAACTGATGGACAAATTCAAGCGTGGGCTGAAGCCGAAAATCCGCACCGAGGTCGAACTCCGCGGCGCTACGACGTTGGATGAGATGATTCGTGTCGCCGAGCGTTTTGACACCATCAACTTTACAGCATACCAGCGATTCCAAGGACGAACCGGGCAGCACACCACTGCTGGACCTACCTACCGCACCAACGGTCCTTCTCCCATGGAGCTCGGTGTGGTGGAACAGCGTGCACGCAACCAGTCCACGCTTACGTGCTACTCGTGCGGGAAATTCGGCCACATCAAGCGACATTGCCCGAACCACTGCAACTTTGAAAGGTCTCCGGGAAACGGACAGCGCCAGTAGCAGTGGGGCAGACCTCTGGCGCATCGCATGCCCCGCTTCTCCCGACTCCATTATTCATCGGCACCTCTGAACTCTACACCACATCCAACGCTCCATTCCCTGCCATCATTCTATACGCAAAAATAAAGAATCGCTACGTTGATTTTTTGCTCGATACCGGCGCTTCAGCAAATTTCCTCTCTCCCTCAATTGCTGCTGAACTTTCTCTCCCCGAAGATCCCAACAGCAACCCGCAGGACGTGATCATGGCAGATGGTACTCGGCGGCGCTACGGACCTACTCTCCTCCCTGTGCATTGCATGTTTGGAAGCTTGGAGGCGACGGTCACGTTCGAGCAACTGCACCTCGGCGGGTACGAAGGCGTTATCGGTCGACCATGGTTGCACCAGTTTGGACCGCGGATTTATTGGCGCAACGGAACTGTCACCGTCGGCAACTACGACCTCCCATCCCACTCCTTTCGCCGACCATGGTCATCCCCAACCAGTTCCGCTTCATCAACCCATCCACCCCAACCTGTCCTATCTCCATCTTCCCATATCCCCCCTCTCCCTCCTCCTCCCATAGCTCCCGTGCAGCAGCCAACACCACCCGGCTCCCCCGAAGTGATCAACACACCTCCTCCTTCTCCACCCCACCCAACCCAGCAGCCACGACGTCCCATCATCCGCCCCGCCTATGAAGTTATCAATCCATCAGCCCCCACCCCTCCATCACCACCTCCTCCTTATCATCTTCTAGTCATCTTCACCGCTCCCGAATTTTAACCATCACCTAACTCTCTCCCATCACCTATACAGAAGTTACTCCAAGGCTACACCGACGTCTTCCCCGAAGATCTTCCCGCTGAACTTCCACCCGAGCATGCTATTGACCATAGCATCCGCCTCATTCCAGGTTCTACACCGCCCGTGTGCCCAACCTATCGCATAAGCACCGCTGAACTTTTGGAGCTCCGCCGTCAACTCGATGACCTTCTCAAGAAGGGTTTCATCCGCCCAAGCACCTCACCATACACTGCCCCCATGCTTTTCACCCGCAAGAAGGAAGGTGACTTGCGCCTTTGCATCGACTACTGCGCCCTCAACGCCATCATAATCAAGAGTAAGTACCCGCTGCCCCGTGTCGAAGAGTTGTTCGACATGCTTGGGGAAGCAACAGTTTTCAGCAAGCTCGACCTACGCTCTGGTTACCACCAGATCCGGCTCGCCGAAGACGACATCAACAAGACGGCGTTTCGAACCCACTACGGCCACTTCGAGTTCCGCGTACTTCCGTTCGGCCTCACCAACGCACCAGCCACGTTCATGGGACTCATGAACGACATTTTTCGGCCCTTCCTTGACCGCTTTGTCATCGTGTTCCTCGATGACATCCTCATTTTCAGCAATTCAGTCGAGGAACACGCTCAGCACCTACGCATCGTCATCGACAAGCTTCGCCAACACCGCCTCTACGCCAAGCTCTCCAAGTGCACCTTCGCCCGTTCAAGCATCGGCTTTCTCGGCCATGTCATCAGCTCCAAAGGCATTGCTATGGACCCCGCAAAGGTCCAGTGCCTTGCTGATTGGCCAGCCCCACGCATGGTAGCGGAGCTGCAAAGTTTCATCGGCCTCGCCAAGTATTACCGGAAATTCATTTTCAACTTCTCTCACATCTGCGCCCCTTTGACCGATCTCTTCCGTCAAGGAGCTGCCTTTCAATGGGGACTACCGCAGGAGACTGCTTTCAACTCAATCAAATCAGCACTCACCTCTGCACCGGTCCTCACCGTCGCCGACCCTTCACGCCCATACTTCATATGGACCGGTGCTTCCGATGTCGCTGTCGATGCCATTCTTTGTCAAGACCACGGCCATGGGATGCAGCCACTTGCTTTCGAGTCACGCAAGCTTCAACCGGCAGAGTGCAACTACGCAACACACGATCGGGAGCTCCTTGCCATTGTCCACGCAATCAAGACATGGCGCTGTTACGTGGAGTAGCAGCCCGTCACCGTCTACACCGACCACCGCCCTCTTCAACACTTGAAAACGCAGCCTGTGCTCAGCCGCCGCCAAGCCCGATGGGCTGAGTTTTTGGAGCAGTTTGTACCCTCACTTCAGATTATCTACCGCCCCGGAAAACTCAACCCAGCCGACATCTTGTCCCGACCACCACCACCAGCCCCACCACCCACCGACCAGCCCAAACCAACCACCAACCAGCCCCACCACTCCCCAACCAGCCCCACCTCATCACCTCCACCTCACACTCCGAACCCATCCTTGCAACTCCATGGAATCAGCAGCATCACTTGGGATGATACCTTCATCACGAAATTTCAGCGCGCCTACAAACGTGACCTGCTTTTTGTCAAGCAAGCCCCCGAGGACCCGACCTACTCATTTGAAGACCCATTTTTGTACAACACCGTCACCAAGACCATTTGTGTCCCTGCAGATCGCTCCTTATGACAGCTGCTACTCTCCGAATACCACGACACCGTTACCGGCAGCCACTTTGGTGTTGAGAAGACCTACGCACGCCTCTCCAACGACTACCATTGGCCACGCATGCATGCTGATGTGCGTGACTTCATACGCACCTGCCGCACCTGCTAACAACTCAAAGCACGCACCACCAACCGCTACGGACTCCTTCAGCCCATCCCTCCACCTACCAAAGTGTGGGATGAAGTCACTATGGACTTCATCATGGATCTGCCTCGCACACCCCGCAGCTACAACGCTATCCTAGTCGTTGTCGACCGACTCTCCAAAATGAGCCACTTCATTCCTACCCACACAACCGTCACCGCACCCGAAACAGCCCGACTCTTCTTCGATCACATAGTCCGCCTCCATGGTCTCCCATCCGCCATCATTTCAGACCGTGACCCCCGCTTCTTGAGTAACTTTTGGCAGAGCCTCTTCAAGCTTCACGGAACCCGGCTGAAGTTTTCTACCGCGTATCACCCTGAAACGGACGGACAAACCGAGCGGATGAACCGCACGCTTGAAGACTCCCTCCGTGCACAAGTTACTGCTCGCCAAACTGATTGGGATCTCCACCTCACCGCCATCGAACTCGCATACAACAGCACACCCCACCTTTCCACCGGCCAGCCACCCTTCTACCTCGCAACCGGACAGCACCCCCACCTCCCCATGACCCCACCCCCCTACCTCTCCCACGCACCAGCAGCCTTTGAGTTCCTCACCTCACTCGAATCAGCCATTGATGCCGCTCGCACCTCCATCCTTAAAGCTCAAGCCAAACAGACCCACTATGCCAACTCCCACCGCAAATATATACGCTTCAAGGTTGGCGATCAAGTGTTACTCTCCACTGACCACCTCCCTCTCCTACGCAAAGGCACAACCAGAAAACTCGCCCCTCGCTTTATTGGCCCGTTCACCATCACCCGAGTCCTCTCACCAGTCACCTACCGTCTCCAACTGCCCAGCTATATGAAGATTCACCCCGTCTTCCATGTCCAGCGCCTCCGCCCTTTCCGTGCACCTTCACACGACCGTCCAGCCACACGCCAACTGCCACCGATGTTCGAAGGCAGTTGCATCTATCGCTGCACATCGCGACACACCTCATGGTCGCGAGTTTCTTGTTCATTGGAAGGACCAGCCCACTAGTGACGACTCATGGGAACCAGAGGGCCACATTGACCGTGCCGCAACTGCTGTGAATCGGTATTTGACCAGCCACGGTTTGGCGCCGTGGACGGCGCCACTTGGAGGGGGAAGTAATGTAACAGTGTGGCAACCGAATGCTGCCAAGTACAGTGCAGGTGGGCGGAAGTCAAGCGCCACCTCACCAACTGTTCGTATTGGTCAAACGCCTCAACCTGCAGCTGGGCGACCAGGTCCTGACGCGCAGCCCAACACAAACCCTCGCGCGAAAATTACGAAACGCAGAACACCGAAGTTCCGACCGCTCGCCGATTTCGCCAACAACACCGACGAAATTACAGCCCCGTAACCAAGCTCGCCGTCCAATCCCGTACCGCAATAATTCTCTGAATTTCACGGCAGGTTCATTTCAAAGGGGTTGGGTTACCATTGAGAAATTCAGAGAGAGTCGCGACTTGGGAGTGCGACTCGATATTTGAATGTGCTCTATAAAATTGTACTGTGAAATTTGTGAAGTCATAGTGCAATTTCCAGAGAACTCCAGAGAGCACTCTATCCTCGTTTTCCTAGCCTACTAAGGCTGCTACTTCCCTGCCAGCAATGTTTCAGCACCCACTTGCGAGCCCTTCCCCACCCACACTCCCGCCACCCCAATTACTTATCTCGCCTGCCTTTATGACTGAATTTAGAGACTTCGATACCCGCATGTTCACGCCAACGGCCTGATGATATGAGCACCGTAGGTTGAACCACCTCCAATTCTATTTTTCGTTTCTTTCACCTGCCCGCGGTCCGCGTGGGTGGGTAGCACTGGCAGCATCCGTTTCCTGCTGCCTTCACCTTCCCGGCACCCCCGACATTTGCGACTGAATATAGACATCCATACTGTTTTGCACCGTAGTACCGTACCTTACTGAGCTGAATCGTACCGGAGTGTTTACGCAGCAACCCTACGATAGCGAGCGGAGCAGCACAGGTTTCTACACTCCAGCGCCTCCTTTTTTCAAAAAAAGTGAACGTTCGCCATGTTTCTTGAAGCAAAAGCCATAAGATGCTAGAGGCTGTGGCTTCGAGGTTAATTTGCTCCTCGGAGTTAGCTGCTCGTGTTAAGTCGAGTTAAGACTGCCGCTTCAGTAGTCCCTCAAGTGCAGCGGCAAGTGCGGCTTAGCTTATCCCGCTGCAAGCGCGACCCCTTGTCCGCAGGACAGCGGCTTTTGCGCACGATCCTTAGTTTCGTCACCCAAATTAGCTGCATTTACCGCGTTCCTCTTCGCTAATGCCGCTTTTCTCTCGTCGATTTCGAGACGTGCCTGTAACGAGTATCTTCTCCGCATTTCACGCAATGAAGCAGACGCCGTGACATCCAGAGGGCCTTCAGTGGACCTAAGTCGATTTGAGCGTCGATCTCTCGCGACCACCATAGATACCATCTGTTCAAACCTGGTAATCGAGAAACCCGGTCCACTCGTTCACTCGCGGCGACGCGGGTGGCTCTTAGGTGGAAAGGACTTCACAACTTGTCCGCGGGCCGGGTCGCTGAATTTCCCTGATACCTTCGATTTGACTTTTTTTATTTCTCTATTACCGTTAAATTCCAATAACACCTTTTTTTAAACCTCTACCTTCAAATTGCCGATATGTTGACTCGCTCCCCGCCAATCTCCCCCCGCTTCCGCTCCCCTCTCGGCGACTCCCCTTTAGCTTCCCCTTTCGCCGCATCTCCCGCCAATACTCCCGCCGCGATTCCCGCCGCGTCTAACGCCGGCTCCGCGCGTCACAGCGGGCCGAAACTGGTTCTGGTCGGCGTGACTCTGCACCAATCAGGAGGCTCCTTTTGGGGGGGAGTGCGCGGCGGAAGCGAGAGAGACGCCGGGGGAGGCGGAGGGGGCAGCGCGGGTGTGACTGTATCGAAGGATGGACTGGCGCTGGTGGATTTCGCTTTATCGAGGCTGGTTGTACCGGGGGACAGGGTGGTGGCTCTGGTGATACAAACGGGCGGGGAGAAGGGGGAGAAGGGGGAGCGGGAGCGGGGGGAGCAGGGGGATATTGAGGCGCGGATGGTGGTGCTGGCGGCGCTACAGCCACTGGCGGAAGTAGCTTCCGCCAAACAGGTGAGGGGGGAAAGGGGCGAATGCACAGGAGCGGGAAGAAGGGGAGAAGTTTGGCGGAGAGGGGGGGGGGGAAATGAGGGGAGGGGGGGGCGAGTAGGGTGGGGTGGTAGACGATGGGGGAAGAGAGGGCTAGAAGCAGCGCTGCAGACACATCCCCTGGGTCACCACCTCCCCCGCCCTCTGTCTTTCCCCAACCACAGGTCCGAGTGGAGGTGTGCGTGTGTTGGGCGGCGGACGTGCCCCAGGGGCTGCTGCAGGGGGCATTGACGCTGGGAGCAGGGATCGTGGTGCTGGGTGCTGCCAAAAAAGGCAGCCTGGGCTTTAAGAGGTGAGAGAAAAGCAGGGAAAAGTTTTGAATACGCGTGCCTCAGGGGCTGCTGCAGGGGGCGTTGACGCTGGGAGCAGGGATCGTGGTGCTGGGTGCTGCCAAGAAAGGCAGCCTGGGCTTTAAGAGGTGAGGGAACTACTTCTAGGCCGCCTCAAGAGATATATTTTGCGTCAAATGCATGGTGCATTGACGCTGGGAGCAGGGATGGTGGTAATGCTGGGTGCCGCCAAGAAAGGGAGTCAGTCTGAGCTTCTCTTACCCTGTCTCCCCCCTCTTTCCTTCCTCTTTTCCCACTTTCCGACATCGTTTCTGCCCCTTCCTCCCCATCCCCCCTCCCCGCCTCCCCGGCACCCCTCCATTCCCCCGTTTCCCCCCCCCAAGTTCGTCCATCTCCTCAGCCACTCAGGGCACAGCCGCAGAACTCACCTGTCGTCTCCCCACCACCACCACCAAGGTCATACCCGTCTCCCACGTCCCTTCTTCCCATCCCTCTCTTCCTTCCCATCCCTCTCTTCCTTTTGAGGCGCCTCAAAACACGTCCCTTCTTCCCATCCCTCTCTTCCTTTCCTCCCTCCCGCCCTCCCCTTTCCCTGCCCCTCTCAGCTACTCCATCTCCTCAGCTACTCAGGACACAGTGGCTCATCTGGCTCGTCGCCTCCCCACCACCACCAAGGTCATGCTCGTCTCACACGGCGCCTGCTCCCTCTCCAAATCCGGAGAGCTCTCCACCGCTCCCAACCCCTCTCCCTCTCCTCTCCACCCTTCTGCATCGCCTGTCTCCCCACTCTCCGCCCTAAACACACCTTCGGCTGTCTCTGCTGCTTCTAGTGCCTCGTATGCCCCCTCTCCCGGTTCTGCATCCCCTTTAAGAGGTGACCCTTTAAGAGGCGACCCTAGGGAGTGCCAGGCTGTTGGTTTTGGGTCTGAGTTTGGGGTGGGAAGCGGGGAGAGAGGGGGGAGTGGGGAGGGAGAGGGGAGGGGAGGGGGGGAGACGATGGAGGTAGATGGGGAGGGGATGAGTGGCGCGGTGGGGAGAGGGGGAGGGGAAGCGGCAGCACCAGCAGCAGCAGCAACACCAGCAGCAGCACAACCACAAGCAGCAGCATCAGCAGCACACCCAGCACCTACCCCCTCCCCATCCCCTACCCCCTCCCCATCCCCTTCCCCCATCCCGGCAGCAGCAGCAGCAGATGGGGGATGGAAGCAAGGCCACACCGTCCTCATCTCCCCCAACCCTCTCAATCCCTCCTCCGACCTCCTCCCTCCTCCCCCGCCTTCGGAAATACTCCGGGAGGTGTATGGGAGAGAGGAGTATGGGGAGCAAGAGTTTACACTTGAACAGATTTTGCAAGCCACTGATAATTTCAACCCCAAGAATGTTCTGGGGGAGGGCGGATCCGGGCAGGTTTTTCTGGGGACGATTACAATGGCGGTTCCAGATTTTGGGGGAGGGGTGGGAGGGGGAGGGGGGGAAGGTGGGAGCGGGAGAATGAAGGAAATTCTTGCGGGCAGCAAGCAAAAAGTTGCGGTGAAGCGGCTGAGGTGGTGGGGGCCTGCCCTGGCTGAAAAAAAGTGCGCGGTCAACACGAAACAATTCCTCACGGAGCTTCGGGTGGTTCGGAAGGTTCGGCACCCGAACCTGCTGCGCATGCTCGGCGCGTGTGTGACAGCTGGCGAGCTCCTAATGGTCTTTGACTACCTCCCGAATGGCGCTCTGGACATGCGGTTACGGGATAACCGCAAGCCGCCGCTGACGTGGCAGCAGCGGCTGGAGATTGCGAGTGGGGCGGCGAGGGGTTTGGCGTTTCTGCACAGTGGGTGCCGCCCGCCTATCATCCACCGGGATGTGAAGTCGGGGAATATTTTACTGGATGAAGACTTGGAACCCGTGGTATGTATGCTCTCCCTTGCCTTGCCCCTTGCTTTTTCTCCCTTTGTGCCCTATTCCCCACCGCCCGCCTGCCGATCATCCACCGGGATGTGAAGTCGGGGAATATTTTGCTGGATGAAGTCTTGGCGCCCGTGGTATGGCCCGTCACTCTTCTGTTTTAAAATCTATTTAATGGCCCTCGCCACCCTGCTCCTTTTCCCAGGTGTGTTTTGAGTCGACTCAAAATACACCCTTGCCACCCTGCTCCTTTTCCCACTCTGCTGCCCTCTCGTCTGCTTCTCTTGTAACCCACCGTCCGCCCGCCTATCATTCACCGGGATGTGAAGCCTTTTGAGGCGCCTCGGAAATATTATTCTGGATGAAGTCTTGGAACCCGTGGTGGGTGTCAAGCTACTGTTAGAAATTTATGTATAGCAGCTACTGATAGCTGTCCCAAGTGTTTTGTCATCCAACCTGCTCCTCCCGTTCCTCCCGTATCCCCCTCCTCTTCCCCCTCCTCTTCCCCTCCCACCCCTCCTTCCCTAACTCCCTTCCTTTCTTCCCCCCCTTCCTCCCTCCCCCCCCCCTTCCCCTTCCCACTTCTCCTGCCCCAATTTCTCCCACCTCCCCTTCTCCAACATCCCCTCTTTGCCCCGCGTCACCAGGTATCGGACTTTGGGTTGGCGAAAGTCGCATCGGAGCATTTCAAGCAGATGAAATGAAACCCCTCCCCACCTTCTGCTTCCCTCCCCTTTCTTTCTCCCTCCCAACCACCAGGTATCGGACTTTGGGTTGGCGAAAGTCGCACCGGAGCATTTCACACAGCCAATGACTGTTACGGCAATCATGGGCACACAAGGGTCAGTTGTGGTTTTATTATTAATAATTATTGTTATTGCTAGTGTTATTATTATTATTATACTATTATTACAAGTGTTGTAATTGTTATTATTATTATCATTGTTGCTGTTATTATTATTGTTATTATTATTATTATTATTATTATTGTTATTATCATCATCATCAACATCATATGATTACCAGAGAGTGACCAGACCACAGGGAAGCCCCACGTCTACCATCCCGCCATGCTTCTTTCACTCTCCTCTCTTGCCCTCTTGCTTGCTTGCAGCTATGTAGCACCGGAGTATGTGCGGACAGGCAAGATCACACAAGCGGTGGACGTGTTTGCATTCGGAGTGGTGTTGCTAGAGCTCATCACAGGGCACATCCCCTTCCACCCAAGCAGAACACCCGCCTACCTCTTTGCATGGGTGAGTGAGTGAGGGTGAGGGCTCAGTTATTCAGATCGGTGGGTGGGTGGGTGGGTGGGTGGGTGGGTGTGGGTGTGGGTTTAGTGTTGGAGTGGTGTTGCTACAGCTCATCACAGGCCACATCCCCTTCCACCCAAGCAGAACACCCGCCTACCTCTTTGCGTGGGTGAGTGAGGGTGAGGGTTCGATCATTCAGATGAGTGGGTGGGTGGGTGAGTGTGGGTGACTTATGGGTTCAGTGTTGGAGTGGTGTTGCTACAGCTCATCACAGGCCACATCCCCTTCCACCCGTCCCGAACACCGGCTTACCTCTTTGCATGGGCGAGTGGGAGCGTGGGTATGTGTGAGGGTGGGTGCGTGCATGGGTGAGGGTGGGTGCATGCATGGGTGGGTGAGTGGGTGGATACATGCATGGGTGAGTGGGTGGATACATGCATGGGTGAGTGGGTGGATACATGCATGGGTGAGTGGGTGGATACATGCATGGGTGAGTGGGTGGATACATGCATGGGTGAGTGGGTGGATACATGCATGGGTGAGTGGGTGGATACATGCATGGGTGAGTGGGTGGATACATGCATGGGTGAGTGGGTGGATACATGCATGGGTGAGTGGGTGGATACATGCATGGGTGAGTGGGTGGATACATGCATGGGTGAGTGGGTGGATACATGCATGGGTGAGTGGGTGGATACATGCATGGGTGAGTGGGTGGATACATGCATGGGTGAGTGGGTGGATACATGCATGGGTGAGTGGGTGGATACATGCATGGGTGAGTGGGTGGATACATGCATGGGTGAGTGGGTGGATACATGCATGGGTGAGTGGGTGGATACATGCATGGGTGAGTGGGTGGATACATGCATGGGTGAGTGGGTGGTCGCAGTGTTTGTTCTCTTACTCTTGTCTTGGGCTCCTTCTCTCCATCAAGGGCAATCCCAGTGGCCAAGGCAGGGGGAGTTTCAACGGCTAGTGGGCAATTGACTAGAGGGGCGGTACGATGCAAGTCAGCTGCAGGCATTGCCTGTAACTAGTCTGAACCTGTCTTCCCCCGTCCCTCCTCCTGCTTTCCAACAGGCAATCCCAGTGGCCAAATCAGGGGAGTTTCATCGCCTAGTAGACTACCGTCTAGAGGGGCGGTACGACCCGAGCCAGCTGCAGGCAGTGGCGATGCTGGCTGTGATCTGCCTTGCCAGCAACCCCAAGGACAGACCCGCCATGGCTGATGTGAGTGTTGTCTTGACTTGGGTTGACCTGAGTTGACTCCCATTGACTTGGGTTGACTTGGTGTAGAGAAGCTGTGGTTTCACTCTCAAGAGTCAGCTGCAGGCAGTGGCGATGCTGGCTGTGACCTGCCTCACCAGCAACCTTAGGACAAACTGGCTATGGCTGATGTGAGTGCCTGTCCCTTGACTCGTGCTGACTAGGGTTGACTTGGGTTGACCTGAGTTGACTTGAGTTGACTTGGCGTAGAGGGGCTGTGGGTTGCAGTGCATCAAGGTCAGCAGCAGGCAGTGGCGATGCTGGCTGTGATCTGTCTTGCCAGCAACCCCAAGGACAGACCTGCTATGGCTGATGTGAGTGCTTTGACTTGGGTTGACCAGATTTAAGGTTGAATTGACTCAAGCTCACTTGAGTTGACTTGGTTTGGGTATCAGCCCAAGTCAAAGGTATCCTCATGCATTCCCCCCGACCGACTTTTCCCCACTCACATGGCTCACCCTTGCACCGCACGCCACCCATCCAGATCTACAAGTGACTGTTGAGTTGATCCAAACGTCTCCAACAGCCATCCTACTTACCCACTCGCCTTCTCTTTTTACCGCACCCTACCGCACCGCACCTCACCCCAACCCATGCAGGTCGCCAAGTGGTTAACTTCGTGGGTGGGGCATAAATCCAATGCCTGATTTGTTGGTCTAGGGCGCTGGGTGCACGCTGGTAGGGCATAAGGCACAGTGTAACAGCAAGAGCATCTTACCGGCATTGAAAATACCAGTAACGTGAAGATGTGTGTTGGGGATTGAGTCTCAGCCCTTTTGAGTTGACTCAAAGGGGCACTCTGACAGCAAGAGCATCTTACCAGCAGCGAAAATAGCAATAAGATGGGTTTTGGGGACCGAGGCCCTGTCAGCCCTCTTACTCAACCCTCTCTGGTGTTTTGTTTTGTCATCAGGAAAAAAAAAGCTAGCCCATTAGAGGCATGAGGAGTAGCCGATTCAAAGCCCTTATTATAAGCCTGGAAATAGTATTGTACTGTAGTACTCTGTTGTATTTTCATAAATGCTGTGCATGCAAATGCCATAGCAATGTATTTCTATAGGTTTGTGTATGGTTTACAGGAAGAACATGGATAAGATTACCAGTATGTACACTAAAATGCACAGAGTCAGCCAATCAGAAGGCAGCAGAAAGCCAAGCTCCAATGAAGGCAAATCCCCCAAACGGAGCCCCAACACCCAAGGCTCTTTCCTCATATGCTGCTGATAGGTAACAGCTGATGATGAAGGGGGAGGGGAAAGGTGAGTTGGGGGATGGGGAGTGTAGGATGCGGGGGGAAGGGAGGGCTTTGAGTCAAAGGGAGCCCCAACACCCAAGTCTCTGTTTTGATATGCTGCTGATAGGTAACAGCTGATGAGGGGAGGGGATAGGCAGGGTGGTAGGGTGGGGGGGGGGAAGAGGGGGTCAGAGAGACGAGTAAGCGGTTGGTGGGTGGGCTTCTGAGCAAGTGTGGGCCATAACGCCCGGAGCGCTGTCCTCGTGTGCTGCTGACAGGTAAGGGGTGAAGCAAGTGAGGAGGGGAAAGGAAGTGGGGAATCGTGGGGAGGAAAGGGGTGTGAAGGGAGTAGAGGAAAAAGCAGGTGGGAGGGAGATGAGCAATGGTGGGACATCACGCCCGGAGCGCTGTCCTCGTGTGCTCTGCTGACAGGTAAGAGGTGATGAGAGGAAGGGGACAGGCAGGGCGGCGGGTGTGGAGGGGGAAAGAGGGGGTCAGAACAAGAGTGCATCATAACGCCCAGAGCTCTGTCCTCGTACGCTGCTGACAGGTAACAGCTGAAGCAAGTGAGGAGGGGAAAGGAAGTGGGGAATCGTGGGGAGGAAAGGGGTGTGAAGGGAGTTGAGGAAGGAGTAGGTGGGAGTTGAACAAGAGTGGGCCATAACGCCCGGAGCTCTGTCCTCATACGCTGCTGACAGGTAACAGCTGAAGCAAGTGAGGAAAAGAGTGGGTTAAGGGGGGGAGGGAGGGGGGAAACGGGGGCGGGAGGGAGATGAGAAGGGGGCGGAAGGGGATGTGGGTAGTGTGGGAGGGGTGTGAATTGGGATGAGCTTTGAAGGGACGGGGGAGGGCGGAGAAGATCACGAGGCTTGGGACAAGAGGCTCATGCATTGAGGTTTGGGCTTGGGCCACAGGCTTGGGCCACAGGCTTGGGCCACAGGCTTGGGCCACAGGCTTGCGCCACAGGCTTGGGCCACGGGCTTGGGTCACAGGCTTGGGTCACAGGCTTGGGTCACAGGCTTGGGTCACAGGCTTGGGTCACAGGCTTGGGTCACAGGCTTGGGTCACAGGCTTGGGTCACAGGCTTGGGTCACAGGCTTCCACTCATTTATCATGCCTTCACTCCCGCAAAAGCAGCATCGCTTATCATGCCCTTGGTCCCCACTCACCTGCCTGAGAAAGCAACTATCCCAAAGGTAAGAAGGCTGCCATACTGGAGGGATGGGAGAGAGGGGAAGGGAGGTGAGGAGCGTGGGGGGGACAGGGGAAAGGAGAAGGGGAGTGGGGAGTGGGGAGAGGTCAGGAGAGAGGAGGTGAGTGAGGATATGGAGGAAAACTTAAGAGACACTGAGCTTTTGGGGATGGGTAGTTTGACAAAAAGCTGCCACAAAGCTACTACTTTGAATTGAAGAGTTTGTCGAAACCCTAAACTCACAATGTCAGGCCGCTTGACTAAGGGCGAGGCTAGGAGAGCAGCAGAGTGCACGAGATGGTAGAGGTTGCCTGTCCGCCACACCTGATAAAAGCAATACACCGCAGTTTGAAGCATGCATTGTTGTAAGGAAGCAGTGAAGCCTTATGACGCGGACAGGAAGCACACATGTGAGCAGCAGAGTGCACGAGATGGTAGAAATCACCCGTACGCTACACCTGATAAAATCAGGTAACGCAATTTGAAGCATGAATCGTGTAAGAATAGTGATGCAATATGACGGGAACAGGAAGCCCACATGCGAGAGCAGCACAAAAAAGGAAAACAAATCGGTAATCACATCTTACCTCTTTAAACACGTATTCACGTCTGCCGAAAAGGATCAGCATGTATCCAATACTCCGGCCGCATTCACCTCCTCACCTCTTTATACAAGGGGTTCTCCGACGTGTGAGGCGCCTCCATGACTAGGGGACGCCTCCATGATTAGGAGTCGCCTCCATGATTAGGAGTCGCCTCGATGACTAGGAGTCGCCTCCATGATAAGGAGTCGCCTCCATAGTTAAGAGGCGTCTCAAAAGTCACCTCTCACCTCTTTATACACGGGGTTCTCCGGCTTAAACGCGTGCGCTCCGTACGCGCCCAGCCCCACCGCCGCAGCGCCTGGATATTGCGGGGAGATCGGGAAGGGAAGATGGGGGTAGGTGGGAGAGCGGAGAGGGTGGGGGAAAACGAGGGGAGGTGAGGAAAGTTCGAAGAGAGCGTCACGCATTAGGACAAACAACGAGGTGCTTCTTTACGCAAATGAATCTAACCAGATCTGCTGCCCCCTAGCAAGTATTGAAGGCACCTAAAAAAGTGCACGGAAAACGATGCGGCGGCGAATTTGAGCAACGAGGGTCTTCCGGTAAAATGACTTCACCTGAAACTGCGGCAACTTTGGTCCACGTGGATGGTGTATAAACTCCAGCCATGTCAGCAGCACGCCGTGATAGTCGCCGAATCTGACTGGATGGGCGAATTTGCTGACTAATCATGCGCGACGTTAGGGTGTGGTGTGGTCGCATGCACGGTGTTGTACTGCAAGCGAATCTCCTTGGGGTGGGGCAAATTGGCGCACAGCAAATTTGGGGATTCCACGGATGCGACATGGAAGGCTCCGCTACATATCCGCAACCCTCTTTTGGTGCTAGGATAACGAGAATGATGTAAACTCCTTTCTTTGTACAAGACCTTCTATCCAATAACGATGTTGTGTATATAGCAAATTTGTAACACTCGTCAGCACATTTCAGGCGAAAACGCTCAAGTCACCTGACGAATCGCTGGGCCAGCTCGTTGTGTTATGTGCGACTTCTATGTTCTAGGTTTGGCCGAGCCAGCAGGTACAGCTGGCCAATCAGTTTCGTATTTCAACGCCAGCTTTTGCTTTCCTTCCCCTTCTCAACGGGTGCCCCACAAACAGCCCACGCAAACCAGACTGAGCGCGCGTCAAGCTTCACCGAGCTTGCATTTCGTCTCGCGCCAAAACCGGACCACAAGGTTCCGTGAGTGCAGAGCCGAAGCGAGCCACCAAGCTTGGACGACATCTAACCAAGTCAAGGACCCAGACCAACGACAAGATGGCGAGTCGCTCCAGATGCGCCTCGTAATTTTAACACGCGCCTCGGTTTGAGATGGGATGTCGGAGTGACATTTTGCCAAAGTTGACATTTCTAGGACAACGGCAGTCTCGACTCTCGCGAGTTTGCAGGGAGGGAGAGATGTCCATTCCAAGTTCTCAACTTCTCAACTTCCCATCCCAACCCATCGGCACTGTCAATCACTGTTAGCTTCGTCCACTCACCCATGTTGGGACGGCCACCACCATCACCGCAAGCACCAGGCGCCGAGGATTCAGGCTAGAACGTCGTCATTCAGCAACAGTCTCGATCCTATCTGCTGCTGTTGCTTGCCCTTGCTTTCAATCGAGATACTCTTCACGAAAAGGGTGTGCTGATGACGGTCCTGTAACCTGTTGCCATTATGCAAGTCAGTGTAGGGTGCTGCTAGATTTGCCCCGAGCGTGTGAGAGAGAGACGAGCATCTGCTATTTTTGCGTCAACCTAGGTCGCCTGACCCACAAAGCGGTTCAATCCCATGCTCGATAGTGCATAGTGTGCTCCGCTCGGCGGACTCCTTTCGTCGTAGTAACTAAAATCGAGCTGTAGCATCAGTAACCAAGCGTTGCGGCTGAAACTGTATCGACAGACCTTGGAAATGTGAACTGCGACTCAAGAATAGTCACCGCTGATCCCGTTAAATTACCTCCTAACGCGAGCAGATTTCAAGCACCTAGAGCCTAGCTTCCAAACACAGAATTTAAAAAAATGCGTAGGAAAGCAAAATCAATGGAGCGGGACCTTCACCCAGTCATGAGGGCAGCCGCAGTCCTTGTTATTGTCATGAGCGCCGGTTCGATAGTAGCAGCGACGGACTGGACGGGCATCGCGATGAAGCTGGATCCGAGCAATCAGATCCTATCCACGTGGGATAGCAACTCCGACGCCTGTGCCAATCCGCCATTCAAAGTATGGGTCTCAAAGGTTTTTCTTCCGTATATGCCACAATTCCGCAGCACATCTGCTCACTCCATTACCGCGTTTCAATCACAGAACGAGTTGGTTTCTCCTGTTCTCATTCAATAACCGAGAAACCTGTGACCGCCTTCCCGTGTTTCATCGTCAGGGAAGTCGTCTTCAGTCCTCCCATCCCCTCATCTTGCCTGTTTTCTGTCTCTTTCTCGTTTTTATCTCCGGTTTTTTGTTCCTACTTTTGCAGGGAGTGAAATGTAATGCGAACAAAGAGGTGATCGAAATTTCGCTACGCAGTCTCGGGCTGTCCGGCGAAGTGCCGCCCGAAATCGTTCAACTCAACAAGCTCACGTGGCTGGACCTCGGCGAAAATTCACTGCATGGAAACATTCCTGTCGACATCGCCAACCTTCCTTCGCTGATGGTGAGTATTTCCCACAAGTGGTATTCGTGACGAGACCCGATCTCTCCAAACAACTGACACAGCTCGGCCTGACAGCTATGCCATGACTGACTATTAGCTTCCTCTGTTCTTTATTCGTTCTCATCGATTACTTTCATGGAGAATTTTCACCATTTTCGGCAGTTTGAATGCTAATCGGCCCTTCCTCACCGAATGTGTCTATACCAAACGGCAGGTTCTGAACCTCTGCTGCAACAACATCGGGGGCGTAATTCCGGACCTCGGCCGAATGTCGAATCTCCTCGCTATCGACCTAAGCAACAATATCCTCTCCGACACGATTCCCGCGTCGCTCGGCGACTTACCGCAACTTAAGTTCCTCGAGCTGAATAATAACCAGCTCTCGGGGGAGATTCCCGCGTCTATCGGCAATTTAAAGCGTCTCAAGTCCATCTCGCTGGCCCATAATCAGCTACAAGGGCGCGTTCCGAAGGGACTTAATTACCTCCGCGATAGCCCCGCCAAGTATAATTTCTCCGAGAACGGTTATGGGTTCTGCGGCACGGGCTTTAAGGGGCTCGACACCTGTCCTGGCGACCCTCCATATGTCTCTAAGAAGTCCCCGCCTAAGGTGAAACCGCCAGTCAAGCCGCCCGTCGTCAAACCGCCGGTCGTGAAGCCTCCTGTCGTTAAACCGCCGGTCGTTAAACCACCCGTCGTTAAATCGCCTCCTAAGGTTATCCCACCAGTCGTCAAGCCCCCGCCAAAATCACCGAAACCCTCACCGGAAAAGCCGCTCCCATCGCCTTCCAAAAGCCCCAAACCTTCCCCCTCCGCGCCTTCCGCTTCCCCGAGTAACCCCCTGCCAACTACCTCCCCTTCCCCTTCCCCCGCCAAGCCGTCTTCACCGCCGTCCTCCCCCCCGCCTTCCGCCAACGCCCCGCCGTCGTCTCCACCGCCCGCGGACGATCCCCAGCCCGTGCAGCCGCTCGTTCCTCTCTCCCCGCCCCCCGGTTCCGCCACCCCCTCCGCCTCCGCTCCAGCAGACACGCTATCCAGCGGTACCGCGGCGGCAGGCGGACAGCGGAAGCAGCGGCGGAAACAGCAGCGCAAGCGCGAGCAGCAGCAGCAGCAGCGGCGAGAGCAGCGGGGGGATGAGCATGGGCGTGTATATCGGCATTGCGGCTGGAGGCGCGTTGTTAGTGATTGTCGGGGCGATTCTGATTGGCTACTGCTGCTGGTGGAAGCCGAAGCAGTCGCGCGCGGTAAGTAGTGGAACCGAGTCGTATTCCTTTATTTCAAATCTCCTCCTTTCCCTTCCCTCCCCTCCCATCCCTTGCCTTTCTTCCCTTCCCTCACTCTCAATTTTCCCCTCTCCCCTCGTTCCGTTCGCCCGTTTCCCCGTTCCCCCCGCTCCCCCGCTCCTCGTCCCGATTCCCCCGCTCCCCCTGTGCAGCGCGCGGCGGCATTTAGGGCGATTCGCAGCGACAAGGATCTCAACCCCCCCTCCGCCTCCAAGCGCGGATACGGCGGAAGCAAGTCCAAGGGCAAGGCGCGCAGTCCCACGGGCGCGGAAGCAGCGGGCGGAGACGCAGGCGGAGGAAGCGGGGCGGCGGCCGCGGCAGGTGCGGCGGCAGGAGCGGCGACGGGATCAGCAATCGCGGGTTCTGGTCGCAGTTCGTCTAAAAAGAAGTCGCCTTCTAAGCGTCACTCTCCGTCGAAGCACCACCGCATCGACATCGAGTCTGGTAATAACGGAGCTAGTGGTTACCACTCGGGTTACCACACGGTCGACGTGCCGCCTGTAACTGTCGTGGAGCTCCCTCCCGAGCCTGCCGTTCGCTCGGTTCGGGAACCCGAGGCTGCAGCCTCGGCAGTGAGCGCCACAGGTGCGGCAGCCGGAGCTGCGATCGCAGGCGCGGGAAGCAAGAGCAAGGGCAGGTCCGGCAAATCTCACTCCCCCTCTCCCAAGAAGGACGGCTCCCGGAGCAATCCGAATGCGGATAAGGAGAGCGTCGGATCGTCGCCACGCGGCGACCAGCACGATCCAACGGCTGTTGGCGGCGCGCTAGGCTCCCGTTCGATTGGAGGCAGCGGCAGAAGCGGCAGCGACCGCAAGACAGGCGCTGCTGCTGCTGCTATTGGAGCAGGTGCTGCTGCCGCTGCTGCTACTGGCTCGGGAAGGAGCCCCCAGACCTCTCCACACAAGACTCGGCCGGAGAGTCCCCGAACCAGGAAGTCAGGCTCGGGATCCGCCGAGCCAGCGGCTCGGGACGGAGGGAGGAAGGAGCGCAAGGAGCATACCCCGCCGAAGACGGAGAGGGGGAGTGGTAACCAGTCGGGTAGGAGCCCTGAGACGAGCCCGTCACCTAAGGGACATAAGGACGGGTCCAGCAGGAGACTGAGTCACGACGGTGGCAATGCTGCTGCTGCTGCTGGTGCGCCGGTGTTCGAAGCTTCTCCGCCCGCCATCCCCCCGTCCGTTCCGCGCAACCGCGACAGCACCCCCCCGCGCATGCCCTCGTGGTCGCGCACGGGGAACCGCAACTCCCCCTCTCCCAACGGGGGGAACCGATCCTCCTCCCCGAACCGAAGCTACCACGGCACGCCGCCCAAACCTGCCGAGCCTGTGCCGATCCTCCGGGAGGAGGGGATCCCTACAGTGGTGGAAATCCCGGTGGATTCTGACGAGAATCAAATCAGACCTGGCGGATCGAGCCGCCCGGTGCTCATCCCTCCTGCGGTTCCCATCCCTCAGCTGAAATCCATGCCGGCGGGAGCCGCGTCGCGGAAGAAGGGGGGGAGGAATGGGGGCGGAGCGGGGGAGGATGACGTGTCACCCGCTCCGCCGCCGAACAACATGCGGCGGAGTGGGTCCGGGGACGAGAGGGGGGAAGGTCGGGCGGAGGGGGGAGGTTCTGGCGCGGGGATGGGGGTTGGCGCAACTGCTGTGACTCCAAAGTATGGCGCGGCGGGGCGGGCGCTAAGGGTAGCGGATTTGGAGGAGGCGGGGGGAGAGGCGGAGGGGGAGGGGGAGGATGACGTGGTGGGGGAGCTGCGGAGCAGCAGTCGGAAGGGCGGGTACGGGGGCGGGAGGGGAATGGGCGGAGGGGGAGGCGGGATGGGGGGAAGAGGCGGAGTTTGGACTCCCCCTTCAGGAGGATCCGGAGGGGGTGCTGACGGGGCACCTGAGGCGTCAGATGACGTGGCAGGGGAGGGTGCCAGCCTGGAGCGGTTCTTCACGGTTGCTGAGCTGTCATTGGCCACCAATGACTTTGGCAGGCAGTCCCAGAGAAATGTTTTGGGTACGGGCAGAGACGGCTCGGTGTACAAGGCTCGGCTGCCTGATGGGACGACGGTGGCAGTGAAGCGTCTTACCCAAAGAAAGTGAGTGCAGTCGAGGAAATGCCCCTATATTAGCATCCGGTTGAATGCCCGTCAGATATTGAATTGAACTCCTTTTGTCCTGTTGAACCTTTTTCCACCTCTCATCACCTCTCTCAACTCCCCGTTTCCCCTCTCTCTGCTTGTCCCCCTCCCTGTCTACACCAGCCTGGACCAATCAGCACGCGAATTCAGATTTGAAGTCGAGTCTCTCGCCCACGCTCGGCATCCGAACCTGGTGGCGCTGCTGGGGTGCTGCGCGGAGGAGGACGAGCGAATGCTGGTGTACGAGTTTGTCCCCAACGGCTCTCTGGACTCGTGGCTGCATCAGAACAGCAACATGGAGCCCATTGATTGGCCCATGCGCATGCACATCGCCATTGGCTGCGCGAGAGGGTGAGGAATTTGTTTTCACCTCCTCTTCTCCTTATCCCTCTACTGCTTCTTTCTCGTCACCTCATTATGGATTTCCTTCCACATTCCTCATCTTCCTCTCCTCAATCCCTTGCTACCTGCTTCTCCCTGTGTGCAGTCTCTCCCATTTACACGAGGGCCTTTACAGGTCCACTTTTGGGTCAGATTCACTAACCCTTCTCACTCCCCTCATATCCTACTCCTCACCCACTCCCCCCTCTCCTTCCTGCAGTCTCTCCCACCTGCACGAGGGGCTGGACATGAAGGTGGTTCACAGGGACGTGAAGGCCAGCAACGTGCTGCTGGACGCGCAGTGGAACCCCAAGCTGGGCGACTTCGCCATTGCTAAGGTCATGGGCCGCGACCAGAGCCACGCCGCCACCCGCGTTGTTGGGACCTTCGGGTAAGTTTATGTACTCATATCTTTTCCTGTTCCCTTCTGGGCTGGAAGACTTCGCCATTGCCAAGGTCATGGGCTGGGACAAGAGGGCTATGCCATCACCCTCCATTGTTGACTATTTTGCCAGGCCCGTTGTGTCACATGGTTTTGAGGCTTAGGACCATGTGGCCCCGGGTCTGCTGTTGTGGACATTTCAAACAGAGTTTCATCATTTGTCCTGTCTTGTGTTCCCGTCTGCTCAGATATGTGGCCCCGGAGTACATGAACACGGGTCTGCTGACGGAACGAAGCGACGTGTACAGCTTTGGCGTGCTGCTCCTTGAGATCATCTCCGGAAGAAAGCCGATTGACAATGGAGCTCCTCCCGACGAGGTAACACATCCCACCACCACCCATGCTGCTGTGACTCTGTATTTTTGCTGCTTGTTGTAATGCTCCTTGTGGTTTAGATTGTCATGATTTGTTTCAGTTGCCATGCTGCTGGTTCTAACTGTCATGCCGCTGGTCCTGATTGCTGCGATGCTCTGTTGCAGATGGATCTGGTGACATGGGCTAAGAAGCTGAGCTCGCAGGAGCGGCTGGTCGAGATTGTGGACCCGCGCCTGCAAGGCATGATATCTCCTGACGATGCGGAGTACGTCCTCGGGATTGCCATGCGTTGCGTGGAGACCAATGCACTCAAGCGGCCGCGCATGACCCAGATCGTTCACATGCTGGAAAGCGAAGACCCAAAACAGGTAAGGGGTTTTATGACGACCATTCATCCCACACCATTCGTTCAGTTTAGCTGATGGCAATGTAGCCGATAGACCTCAAGCTTCAATCAGCATCCATGGTCTGCTAACTCTACAAAATCTTTTGAAGTTATCCCCAACCTGTCCTGTCCTTTGTGGGTGCAGAGGGACGACTGGGTGGCTCGAAGGCCCAGTCCTGTGAGTGCCAGGTCACTGACAATCCGAGACCCAAGCCCCAGCTACGCCAATGGCAACATGACAGCTCCCGGCCGATCAGAATCCAGCAGGGCGAGCCCACGGCCGCTTTACTCCAACGGGAGGACGGATTCCCTTCGCTCCCTCAGCCCACGTTGCTCGCTTGCTGCATCCAGCCCAGGTGCTCCTGATGTGGGTGCCCTCATTGCCAATGCTGCCATGCGATCCAGCCCAAGAGCATTGAGCCCTCCACCACTACGGCCGAGCCCTGGAGCTCCCAAAGGAGCTTCCCCGAGGTTTATGAGTCCCCGAGCAGCCAGCCCCAGGTCTGCCTCTCCCAACACTGATGCGGCTAACATCATTGCGAGTCATGCAATGAGCATCAATGCACAACGAAGGCCTGGGTCATGGAGTAGGAGGTAGATGACATTGCCCTCATAGATTTAGGATTGAGTGGTTGACAACTGCTCTACAACTTTGCCTTGTAGCATGACCTTACAAAACGTCACTAACCAATCATCTCACAACAATGGTGTATGCAACACCAGCTTCACTTCTGCCAACATTTGCTAGTTGAACTTCAGATGTAATCTTGATGCACAATCTTCTGGATAATGAACTTGACCAGGAAATCAGGTCCGTTGGAGTGGAGTGCCTCAATGTCTGCTTTTTTTCCGAAGTCCACCATTGCTTCAAGCTCATCAGTGTAAGAGCTGGACATCTGTTGAAATGGTGTGGTGGGTAAGGGAGTGAAAGCACGCAAGTCTGCTGGGAGATAACTCTTTATGTTATCACCTGAAGAGCTGCACTTTGCATGAGACTCTGTGCCAAAACTCTGTCTCTATTTGACAGTGGTTGCAGTCCATCGTCAGGGACATACTTGACATCACCATATCTCAGGCCAAGCCACTTCACATCGCATGCTGTGGAGTCAAGGAGGCCAGTTAGCACATTGAAAGAATTCAAACTGGTACCGTAGTTCTCAATTGCAGTTGACAGTACCGTATCGTGGACCCTCAAGACCCATTTGGCCTGATCCAAACTTGTATGTGCATATAATTGACAGCCCTGCTGGATTCCTGCAAACCAGTAGGTATACTGAGCATCACGCACTAACTAAAAAAAAAAAAATGATAACCAGGTGGTATTCTCACATGTCCACCAGCCCAAGAATTGGAATCTTTGGGTAGTGCAGATGCAAGCTTCGTAGAAAGGCTCTGGATCAAGCAGCACATGTTAGAAGAGGAAACAAACTCAACCTTGTTGCCAGATTCCGACAGCTATCACATCCTACCTCGTGGCCAGGTCAGGAAAGCCCTTGGCGGTAATCAAGATACAAGGAATCTCCTGAAACAAACGATCCTGAACAAGCCGTTGGAAGACAGTGTCCTGCACCATGCCAATCCAGAAGACTGTCAGACCGCGAGAAGGGAAGTCAAAACATGAATCAAGAGTCAGCAAAACGCAGACCTTTTCAACCACAATAATGTATCTCGCATCTGTATTGAATGTCAGCTTCTCAATGTTCCATAAGTTCCCAGTGATTGAAACACCAGCACTTCCCCGACTGGTGCAGTCGATCCACTGTCCTGTCTCTCCTTCCTGAACCGAACGGCAATTAGCGACAATCCTCAACGCCCCATGCGACTACATCAATCTGTCAAGACCTAATTTATCCACGTTTGGCTGAACTGTCCTCAACAGTGCACAACGTACCCTCATAGATAAGCGACCAGCAACTGTCCCCTTGCTTGATGCATAAATACCCAGGCTACATCTGCTGCAGCGGAGGAGGGACACGGTCTCTGTGCATAAGATGTCAGAATAGTGCCTCAGATGAAAGTTGAACGAGTGCGAATGGTAACGTACCTTGAATTGCCGCATTACAGTCACGCTGTTTCTTGAAATACTCCTGGTTTTCGCCTAGCAAGCGATAGTAAATCTCCCTTTGAGTCGACATTCTACCATCTTCGAGAAGCTTGTAAACTACGGCGAGAACTTTCCAAACTGCAATGGGGAACGATAATCAGGTTCTTTTTCTTCACATGTTGCAGGAAACATGAAAACGCCTTAGCTTGGCGGACACACACCACGAATATAAGGGAGAACTCTTTTTCCGTTCAGGCCAGTCAATGTGCGCTCTTGCAACTTGTGTGCGAGGCCCACTTTGACAATTTCTTCGTCGCCACCATACGCCCTAATGTTTGACGCGTCACGTCGAATCTGTTGGTGTACGAGATTGTAAGAGTGGCAATGTCCCCAAGGGCGAAGAGAACAGTGGCGTACTTACCAGGGACAAGCTCTTGATGCCCGGGCATTCATGGCTGACGAGACCACGCAGAAATTCCAGGACTAACGCTTCGATTCTCCTCCGGACCTGCGTACGATATTATCACTACAAGTTCCAGTTCAAACGGTACATCGCAAGGCCTTTCACCTACCTCCTCAGGAGGAGCGATATCGGCCATCTGAACATCCTCCAAAGCCATATCCTTATCTCGAACAATTGACACTAGTAAACGTGAAACGAAAATCGAGCTCCGCCCTTCAGCTGTCACAACGGTTGGGAAAAAGAGGAGTTACGGTGCTCGATGTTTATCAGCGTTTCTATTCAGCGAGGTACCTCCTACCAACAAACTCACAGCAGGACAGATGAGCAATTGGGAACTGATACCTTGGGATTCTCATTCCGTCGTCAAGGTGACGCCAACATTCGATATGAGCTGTGCCGACACTGTTCTGAGCTGTATTCCGAAGAAGAAAAATAAATTCTAGCTTTCTATATGAATTGCGCCCGTACTGGGCTCTATTCTGAACTACTGGTAGTAAAAAAATCCTTGCTCACAGACAAAAAAACTGTACAATTCATAGATTTTTTAAACACTGTAAAATTCAAACACGTGCACCATCTGGAAAACAAGGCCAAACGTCAACCTTTCTACAAGCCATCCATAGCAAATGTACAAGAAAATGCCTAAGCATTCACAACCACCCCTCCTGCACAGCATGACCAAGCAGAGCATGCTTTGTCAGTACAATAATTAACAAGCAAGACACTTCCTTCAGTATTGATGAATTTCTTACCATTGGGGTGGAGCACTTGGCCTGTGAAGTACGAGGAATCATCACATGCCAGGAACACATAGGATGGGGCAATCTCATCCGGCTGAGCCACCCTCTTCATGGGCACCTGCTTGCCAAACCCTTCCACCTTCTCCTCCTCAAACGAGGCCGGGATGAGTGGCGTCCACACCGGCCCAGGCGCCACACCTGCACAACAGAAAGCAGCAGTGCTTTGTCACAGTTCATAATATACATCAGAATAACTTGCAATGTGTGGGCACTCCAACAGGAATGAACATGTCTAAATGGTGAGGTGACACATCATCCTAACATCACATACTTACCATTCACGCGAATCCCCTTGTCAACCACCATGAGCGCGAGGGAGCGAGTGAAACCGACAATGGCAGACTTGGTGGTGGAGTAGGGCAGGAGGGAAGCATTGCCCTTGTACGCATTGACAGAGGTGGTGTTGATGATGCAGCTACCTTCTTTCATGTGAGGCAACGCATACCTGCAAATGCAAAAGAAGAAAAACATGAAAAAATGAAGGCCAGAATATGGTGAAATTGCACCACCTGCTGCAATGATGAAACACCAAGCCATTGTCGTTGTCAGCATGCAATTCGTGCACAGCATTACTTTGACAGGTAGAAGTAGGAATGCATGTTGGTCTTGAAGGTGCGGTCCCACTCCTCAGGGGAGATCTCCTCGAGGGTCTTGTGGGTGTGCTGCTCCGCTGCGTTGTTCACCAGCACGTCTATGTTCCCCCCAAAGTGCTCCGCCACCTTCCGCACCACCTGCTCCCAAGGAAAGAATTCACGACAAACATTGAATTAGAACACACATTTCATGGCTGGTACCTCTGAAGCACCAAAGCATAATCGAGCAATAACATTCCACAGTTTTCTCACCTCCTTGCAGTTGTCGTGGTGCCCTAGGTCCACGGGGATGGCGAGCGGCTGCTTGTGCTCGGGGCGCTGGGCGTCGCGCAGCAAGCGGAGGGTCTCCTGGGCGTCCTTGTCCTCCCGCGGCGACACGTACGTGAACGCCACCGCCGCTCCCTCCAATGCGAAGTGGTGTGCCACGCTCCGCCCGATGCCCGAATCACCTCCAGTGATCAGCGCGATCTTACCCTGCAGGGAGAGAATGAACAAGCAGAGAGATTTAAGTATATTAGCCAATGAGCTAGGTACATTATCCTGCAAAAGGGATGACAGCAAGAAAAGGATTTAGGCATCAGGTTCAAGCCCTGTTCAAAAGTTTGACGAGCCTCTAAACTTTCAACGATCCAAACCTTGAGTTTTTCGGCGGGCTTGTACGCCTTGCGAGTGACGGACGGCTGCGGCTCCATCTTTTGCTGCACGCCGGGCTGCTGACCCTGGCGCTGCGCGGGAGGCGACGGCGTGGCCATGGCGCGAACCTGGGAGATCGAATGCTGCGAGACAGCAGCTGCTGCGGTGAACAAAAATCCGCGAGAGGACCGAGAACGGAAGGCAGATGGAAGCGAGGGCTTGAGGGGAGTACAGGGAACAAGTGATGAGGTTCTGCTTGTGAAGAGTGTGTTATGAACGGAGGAGATGGGAACCACGCACGGACGCGACGCCGCGACGTCAGCCCGGAGAAACGACTTTCTCGTTCATCAATCGCATGAATCTCTCGCATGGAAGCGTCTCAGTCTCAGGACCTGGCATCCTAAGCTCCGGCTCGGGATATGAGGCCGACATGAGAGAGCTGTGACGCTCGGGCTGGCACGCTTCGCACAGCCTGTGAGCGACACGCGGATGAGAGATGGCATCGCTTGACGTGAAAGGCGCTCAGTACCACCATGCACAGTGCCACCTGCTTACGAAGCCTGAGTTCTGCTGGTTAGGAGTGATTTGGACACATTTGTGGAGACAGGGAATGTGCTCGAATTCCTCGACATTGACGATATGGGTTGCAAAACGAGAAAGTGCAGTGCAATATGGTTTAGAGGCTTACAGGATCTGAACGTTTATAAATACGTGCATGAGCGACAGTTGTCGTCGGCCTGTTAGCTCAGCTGGTTAGAGCGTCGTGCTAATAACGCGAAGGTTCGAGACCTGTATAGGCCAGTTACTTCGTTTTTTATTCTTGGCTGACCCTCTGCACCGTAATTTTCTTTTGGCGCTGACACCAGTCGCCGAATATATCTCAGCGGACAAGCGAGTCCGCCTGGGGGAGCAGAAGGGCACGCATCCGGTCAGGGAGGCATCAACCCTAAACACCTGGATGGCATGCCATCCGATGGGGTTTTAGTTTTTTTCTGCCCGAGGCAGCATGTCGTCAAGTCGTCAGAGGGTCGTCAGAGGGTAGTCAGAGGGTCGTCAGAGGGTCGTCAGAGGGTAGTCAGAGGGTCGTCAGAGGGTAGTCAGAGGGTCGTCAGGGGGTAGTCAGAGGGTCGTCAGAGGGTAGTCAGAGGGTCGTCAGAGGGTAGTCAGAGGGTCGTCAGAGGGTAGTCAGAGGGTCGTCAGAGGGTCGTCAGAGGGTCGTCAGAGGGTCGTCAGAGGGTCGTCAGAGGGTCGTCAGAGGGTCGTCAGAGGGTCGTCAGAGGGTCGTCAGAGGGTCGTCAGAGGGTCGTCAGAGGGTCGTCAGAGGGTCGTCAGAGGGTCGTCAGAGGGTCGTCAGAGGGTCGTCAGAGGGTCGTCAGAGGGCAGGGTCTATGTTATCAGGATAATTTATCCTGATTCTCCTCAATTCAGGATAGGTGTCGTGTGCTAGTCCTGGAAGAACAGCATAAGAGGAATAATTGTCCTGTAATTTCAGTATAACGGTTATTTTGCGTACTGGAAACTCAGGATAAGGCTGTAGGTTCAGCCCTGATGAGTCAGGATAGTGTCGAATCTCGCTCTGAAGCGAGATGTACTGTACGAAAATTCTCCTGGGTTTCTGGGCCTAAAATTTCACGAGTAGCACCTCAACACAGAAGCCAGCAGGAGTCAATCATGCGACCTATGACGTAACGCTCTGACGCTTTACCCACTACCACGCTTCATACGAGATATTGCAGAGCAAATTTCAAACTATTTTTTATCTTACTTTGCACTACAGCATTCCACACTTCGAATTTGGAGAGCATTTCGATCCCCGCTAAATTTGTTGGGCTGATATGCCCTAGGATCTTTGTAGAGTTAAAGTCTGAGTAGGATTGTAATAGCGGAAGCGTTTGAATGAAAAGTCCTTGAACCACCTTGCGCTAGTGTGTGAGGGCAAAGTAAGTTGATTAAAACAAGCAAATACAAGGCTTTATATAAGAGTACAAGGAATACGAATAGATATAATTAAACTGTTTTGCTGTTGCGATTCGATACAGTGCGACTCGGGCAACTGCTCAATGTCGAATCAGTTGTGTGTCCTTGCTGTCGCGCTGTATTTTGTCAAGTCAAAGGTCGCTGACTTTTGACCTTCGCGTAACCTCCAGGCGGTTACCCTAACCTCCGAGGGTTGACTCGCGATGCTTCGATTTGGACAGCTTCGCTTGTGTCCTGAGTTTCGACACGACAGAGGCGCTTTAAGACTGATTGTTCCCAAGAAAATTAACACGCGCAAAATACATAGGATTGAACGAAATTGTCAAGATATGTTGCTAGGGTTTAGCCTTAGGAGCCATGTTGGGAGGTAGAGTGTGAGGGAGTTGGCAATGAAAGAGAACTTCACTATAGAGCTAAGGGTACAAATATGATAGGAAAGGGGGTAATCCACCAAACAGAATGTGATAACTACACTACTGCTATATCTACATGCAGTTACAATAATATAACTCTGACATCCCCCCTTAACTGCATGCAGGAATAGCAAAGCATAAATCACAACCTGCAAGTGTACTGAAAGCATTAGCACGCAAGAGCAATGACAACCAGTGCAGCAGTGGCAGAAACAACAGCAGAAACCCCTTAGCCAATACAGAAACGAAAGAAAGGTGCATGTGGCGCAGGTCGCCTGGAGAGCGGCGTGCGGCGGCAACAAGCGGCGGCACAGCAGGCTCAACGGCAGCACCTGCCGCTCAACAGCAGCAAACGAAAGAGACGAATTAAGTGGTAACAGGGGCTGCAGCTGGAGGTGCCACAGGAGCAGGGGGTGGCAGTTGCAAATGCAGGGCTGCTGCTTCTGCCACTCTCTCTCATACCCTCCTTTATCCCCCCTTACCCTCTCTCCCCCCCCCCCTCAGCAACAATTGCTGCAGGGAGAGAGGAAGAGGGAAGGGAGGGAGGAGCGGCAGGCTCCTCACACCCGCCCCCTCCCCCCAACCCCCCCCCCCACGACGGAAGGGAAGGGCGGAATCACCCACTGCCGGCGCTGGCGGTCGCGTTGGCGCTAGCGCTGGCGGCCGTCGCAGCTGCTGGCGGTGGCGCTGGCGGTCCGCGCAGGCGCTGGCGCTCGCGGCTGGCTGCAGCGTTGGCGCTCGCGGCTGGCCGTGGCGCTGGCGTCCGCGCTGGCGAAGGCGGATCGCGGGGCGACGGGGGGAGCGTGACGGACGAAAAGGGCGCACGGGCGCGCCGCAAAACGAAGGGCCTGCAGAAAGCGAAAAACGGGACCCGCGGGGTTCGTCCACGGGGCGATTCGGGGGACCCGCGGGGCGCATTACGGGCGGCACGACGGGTGGGCCCATGATCATTAAAAAAAAAAAGGTCCTCAGGAGAAATTCCTGCTCTGTACCATGTCAAGATATGTTGCTAGGGTTTAGCCTTAGGAGCCATGTTGGGAGGTAGAGTGTGAGGGAGTTGGCAATGAAAGAGAACTTCACTATAGAGCTAAGGGTACAAATATGATAGGAAAGGGGGTAATCCACCAAACAGAATGTGATAACTACACTACTGCTATATCTACATGCAGTTACAATAATATAACTCTGACAGAAATGTAGCACTGAGTTGCCAGGATACTGTCAAATGTAGCACTGGCATTTCAGGATACCTGTCAAATGTTGTAGCCTGTAGTGAGGTTTGTCTTAGGGGGTACAGAAGTTAGGGTTTGTCATATGTACCCCAACCAACATCAATGCAACACCCCATTCCTCATTCTGACATGGTATCAGCTAGGTTAGGATCCTGTGGGATCCCGTTCCTCCGTTCTCCGTTCGTACCTCCCGAGCCTGATCCTACCTCTCGTTCGTACCAGTTTAGTTGTTACCGCGCCTAGTACCGAGCCTAGAGTCATCTCCCCCGTCGCGTCACGCCCGTTCCCCCCCGTCGCGTCGCGCCCGTTCCCCCCGTCGCGTCGCGCCCGTTCCCCCCGTCGCGTCGCCCTGCCCTGTCCCGTCGCCCTGTCCCGTCGCGTCGCCCTGTCCCGTCCCGTCGCCCTGTCCCGTCGCGTCGCCCTGTCCCGTCCCGTCGCCCTGTCCCGTCGCGTCGCCCTGTCCCGTCCCGTCGCGTCGCCCTGTCCCGTCCCGTCCCGTCCGTCGCCCTGTCCCGTCGCGTCGCCCTACCCCGTCGCGTCGCCCTGCCCTGTCCCGTCGCCCTGCTCCGTCGCGCCGCCCTGCCCCGTCGCGTCGCCCTGTCCCGTCGCGTCGCCCTGCCCCGTCGCGTCGCTCCCGCCCTTTCCCCCGTCGCGTCGCCCTCCCTAGGCCCTAGCCCGTCGCCCTCCCTAGGCCCTGGCCCGTCGCCCTCCCTAGGCCCTGGCCCGTCGCCCTCCCTAGGCTCTGGCCCGTCGCCCTACCCTAGGCCCTGGCACGTTGCCCTACCCTACGTTTTGGCCCGTCGCCCTAGCCCGCTCTTCCGCTGCGACTGAGTCCTCTTCCCCCCCGGTTGTTACTCGTCTGTTCGTTCGCGTTGGTTCTCACTATGGCGACTCCGCGAGTTCTTCGTTTCGACGCTGACGGTAGACCCCTTGACTTTTCCGTCTGGCTTCTTCGCGCTCGTCGTCTGTTAGAGAGTCAGGTCCAGGGGGGCGAGACCCTCTGGTCACACGCTACTGGTGACCTCCCCGAGCCCCCCGAGCCTACCGCTTTAGGCCCTGCTCCTGACGACGCTGCTACGGCTCGCTTTGCCCGTCAGCGCGCTGACCGGACGGCTTGGACGTCGCGTGACGCTGCGGCCTGCATCGCACTCAGCAGCCTCCTCCCTGAGTCCGAGGAGGTCCAGTTTACTCAGGTTCGCACCGCTGCTGCGTACCTCACTGCGATTAAGGCCCGCTACTCTACTCCCGCTACTGTCTCTCTCGGCCGTCTTTTCCTCCCGTTCCTGTTTCCTGATCTTGCCTCGTTTGAGCGCTCTGCTGACTTGATCGCTCACCTCCGCTCGCTCGACGCTAGTTACCGCGCTGCTTGCACTGAGGCACAGCTTGCACTGCTTCCTCCCCCCATGGCGATTACTGTCTATTTCATCGCCACTAGCCTCCCTGACCGCCTTGCCTCCGTCCGTGACGCGCTTCTGCTGAAGCACCCTAGTGAGCTGA